ATTTCTTCATTCTTTTCAAGGGACAATGAAATCTTTCCTTCTTTTCTTGGCATGATTACTCTAATTCTCTTCGTGTCAGGAGGGATTGCAGGCTCAAGATAGAGCCCTGCAGCCTTGTAAAGAAGGTTATGATTGAGACCATCATAATATTCTTCGATGACAAACGTGAGCTCCGAAGACAGAGAGGCTAGGAGACTCTTGATTTTCAAGAAAATGAAGTCTCGCAGCTCGTGAGGAACAAATTCTTTGGCGACGGAGCGCACCAGCATGGCAGTGGCGGCAACTGATGCGGCGGCTGAGAAGATGAACTTGGCTGAGGGGCGTCGGTTGGTGCCATTGAAAAAAGAGGTGGGTTTTGGCACTGAAGGCATTTTGTTATTTCTTAGGGAATCGAATGAAAAGAAGAATTAAAAAAAAAAAGGAAGGTTTGCTGAATTTTTAAGAGTAAAAAGAAAGAAACTCTGGGTATTGATGTGCTATCAATGTAAACGTGAAGAAATGGTGTTGTGACAACGTGAGCAGTAAGAAGCAAAGTGTTGAAAAAGTAAGAGACTTTCTTGTTATGAAGAGGGCGGGTGAGTCAAAGGATACCGTTCTTGCTCTTCCATTGCAGGAACTTCCGCAAACGATCCACAGCATCATTGACTTACTTTGGTCATCCAATAAAAAGGTTCAAAGTAATTAGTCAATTCAGAAACCGAAATTGATGTTCGTTCTTGTTCAGAAATTGAGTAATTGAGATTGATTTTTTTATTTAATATAAAAAAAAGGCGATTCAAATCTTTTTTTTAAAATGAAAGTACGGTGTATTTATTATTGAAGTTAATTGAATTTCTAATTAATTCTTGATAATGACAGTTTTCACAAGTTTTTTTATGCTATATATATATATAATATAAATAAGACAAATCACATTAATATACGTTTAAATCATTATTGTTTGATCTAATGTTTTAAAAAGCATCTATTAAGAAAATTTAAAAAAAGGCACAATTTTTTATTACGTTTAATTAAATTTTTATATTTATTATAATATTTTAATAATTTTCTAAATTATTTGAAAAAATTTAAATAAGTTTTTATTCTTTAATCATGTGTTCAATCAAGCATTATATTTTTACTTTTGATCAAATAAGTCCTTATAATTAATAATTGACTAATTATACTTATTTAAAATGTTATTTTTCATTTTATATCTATATGATATTGACATGAGATTTGAAGGATGAATAATATTACATGATTATGTTATCATGTCAAATTAGTATATCATGTTATTATCAATTATTATATGTCAGTATACCACATCATCGTTTATTACGATATGCTAGTGTGTCACGTCAACACCACGCGATATAAAATGACTAATGACATTTTGACTAAGTCGATTATTAATCATATGAGCTTATTTGACTTAAAATAATAGTACAAAGACTTATTTGAATTTTTTTAAATAATTAAGAGGTTTTTTTATATTATATCCTTATATTTTTATTTTGAGTTAAATAGACTCTTATAACTAAGAGTTGACTAACTGCCATTAGTCAAAACGTAACTTATCATTTTTATATTATGTGGTATTAGCATGGAGTGTGATAATGTCATATAGCCACATCACTATCTGTTATGCTAGGGAGTATATCATGTAACATAAGAATGATAAGTGTGCATTTTGATTAATAATAGTTAATTAATAGTTAGTTATAAAGATTTATTTGTTTTAAAATAAAAATATAAAAACTTAATTAAACGTAATAAAATAAAAATTTTTGAAAATTTTTTTAGGTATTAGAAAGCAAAATAAGAAATTTTTTTTTACTTTGAGATAAATTCTTAGAATTAAAACATGTAACAATTTTTTTCAATTATAACAATAATTTTTTAAATATATCATGTAATAACAACATTTTTTAAACATAATTTGTAACTTGTTCTTTGTCATTGTATTTCATTAGGACATAAATTCTTGAAGGTAAACATTTGACATGAAAGTTTAAAATCAAAAACAAATTTGACATGAAAATGAATATGTATTAAAAAATTATTCAACATTGATGAAATGGATTTGGACAAAAAGATATTATCTAAAATGGATAATTAGGTTTTTGGTTATTTTATTTATTTTTTAGTAAAAGAAAATTAAAATATATTGATATTATAAAGAAGTGAGAGAGAAATCAAATCCATCAAAGATAAATTGAAAATCAACAGATTGGAACTTAATTTTGCTAATGTTATTACAATTTTCAAGTCCCCTGTGAATAATGTACAACTTGTTCATGATATGGAAAATGACAACAAAAGCAATGAAATCAATGCTCATAACAAGTGCCGCATTTGGGGAGATCTTGAGCCTTGATCCATCATCTATGTAAAATTGAAGCAAAGTCCCGACAACCCCTCTGTATGCTGCACCACTTGTCATTTTTCTCAATTGTCATTTCTGAATCGACTAAAATTTCAAATTATATAATTTGAATATAAAGAAATTTTATTAATGGTAATACTGTTCAAAAATCTTTTCTCTTGATTAAAAATAATTAAAAGTAAAAAAATATTATTTTTGATTACAAGTTATTTTTGAGAGGTAAAAAAAACCGTCCATTTTACAATATGATACAAAACATTCTCTGCTGTGCATTGCGAGGATTATAAATTAGTTTATTTATGATTTATCACAAGCTTGAACTTTCAGCTTGTTCAGTTTTCTTCGCTCCGAGGAAGTCAATCAGGCCTTGCAGTGCAGCTTCAGGATCCTCATTCTCTAGTATCTGCTCACCAACTTCTGCAGGGGTCACGGATATTTCATCCAGGAGCTCTCTGGTTGTGGAGATAAGAGGGTGATCAGTTATTCCAACATAATTGGCTGCAAAGTGTTGAAACCACAAGGGTTGCAGTGAGACAAATGGATACGAACATCCATGCAGCCCGGGCTTAACAGAGCTGGGTCTAATCGGTCTTTGTGATTAGTCGTGAACATGATGATCATCTCATCTCCACAGCTTGACCAAAGCCCGTCGATGAAATTGAGAAATCCTGATAATGTAACGTATGAAAATAATAATAATAATAATAATAATAATAAAAGAGGCAATTCAAAAGCCTTAAGAAACAGTATAGAGATAGGATTACGAAGAAGTTGAAATGTCTTTACTTGGCTTACAATGTTAGTCCTGAGAGCAGTAACAGGTCGTGGTTCAGCTTCTCGTTCTTGCAACTCAAGACTGCAATCAATATCCTCAACCACAAGTATTGTTCGGTTTCCAGTAGCGATCAGTGTTCTCCCCAGATTAGAGTTGGTTTGAATATCTGTGAGTTCTAAATCATAAATATCAAAGTTTAAATAATTTGCCATTGCAGCAATCAAGCTTGATTTTCCTGTACCAGGAGGACCATATAACAAATACCTACGTTTCCATGCCTAAGTAATAATCTTTCCTCTTCAGAAATCTCTCAAGCTCTTTCATTATTATCATCTTGAGCTCTGTATTCATCACAGTGTTTCAAATTTTGCAGGATGATCAAGGATTATTGGTTGCCATGCTCCGCCTCTGACTCTGAAGTTCCATAAAGCTCATCTAGTCATCATGTGAGTTCGAGAACAGAAAACTCAAACCACGAGAAAAACAATAGTTAATGGTGGCAAAGTCATAGGGCATATGAATTGTGTACGCTATATTAGATAACATTTCCCACAGTTCTCAGCTATGCTGCATCTAAATTCGTTAGTCTCACACAGATAATGCGCTTTCACTATTTTATAATCTCTACCAACTTTGTAATTGATGCCTTAATTTACATTTCTTCCATATTCATTAAGATCGACCAACAATTCCTGGAGATTTGGAGGCTAATTAGGACTTTGCTTAGACTTTCTGGAAGTGCCCGCTAATCTTCGAGCGGAGAAACTGCAAATCTTTTAGCAAATCCTAATCAAAGGGCAAAAATATGAGCAAGCCAAGATTAATCACATGACAATATCTCTTGCGTCCAAGAGAGAATATATTATTGCTTCGAAGGTATACTAAGTATGATAGTGTGAGGAATTCAAAGCGAATACTAGGTTTGCTGCAATGTTGCCATTACAGATGTAAGTATCACGGACTCTACGTGGTTGTAGCGGTTTATGAATTTTTTTTCTCCAGACACGTTTTAACCTTTCAATTTTCCATCTTTGTCAAGGACATAACTATGTTAATGTACTGACATTTATGTGCGTCCATGTACTGAAGGACATCCTCTTGAAACCTGTGAAACAAATCGTCCATGATGTCTTCCCCAAATTGGCTAGCTAGTATGGGTTCACCAACCGCTCTAATGTCCTTAGCAATGATTGCTGCTCTTGCTGTCTTATCCAGGTTGCTGTCAGCTTTCTTTATGTAAGCGTCCCAATCCATATTGAAAACCTCAAGCCTTTGCAGAGTGAAGGATCCCTCTACTTCAATCACTTCCTTAACTTCTTCTGTAGTAGCTGCATAGTACGGTAAATTGAAAGACTCCAATTTTTCTTCTTCAATCAAGCCCTGTAATCATTAATTTTTATACTCATAACCATTTATTTGTCAGTACTGATTAAAGAGGTCAGTTTTGATGATGTTATTTCCAATTGGACGCATGATGCGTACTTCAATTAACAAAATGAGGTTGCTGTCAATAAAGTATGCAATTGGTATTAGTTTAGTGGATGGGTTTAGTTTAATTTGTACCTCGGACACCATTTCATTTAGTTTCAATCCAACAAATTCCCAGATGGTAAGGGGATCATCGCTCCTGATGCTGCCCATGGTAGTTAGGAGCAGCCGGCCTCCAGGGACTATCTCATCAGCACGACACCTCAGAAACAGTGCGAAGTCTCTTTTGAATTGCTCCAAGTATGCTTCAAACACGTGGGGGAGGCTCGTTTTTGCCACGCAAATGTTTCCCTTGTTGGATGCAGCTGGCCCCGTTTCAGTACCCAACTCTTTGGGTGCCTGTACACATCAATGGTTTCCTAGTTGCTATATTTGCAGGATACATTTCCCAATAATATTGGCTAAGAATGAGATTAGTGATTTCCAATTACTAAAACTGAATTACGAAATATTTTGGCTGCGCATGAAAAGCATAGAGACAGAGATGGCTGAAAAGGATGCATTTAAAGTAGAGGCCGCGGTAAACTGGTTTGGTTTAGTTTCAAAGATAAATCCAAACCAAATCAAAAATTTGGTTCTTAACTTTTTCGAAACCAACCTAATTAAACCTGAATAATTTGGTTAGGTTTGATTTTGGGCCTTAGAAATAAGCTAACTTTTTTTTTTCATAATTTTAATATTAAAATCAATTAAGATTTAAAAGAGTCCGAAATTCAAGTTTGTATTTGACAAACAATTAAATTAAAACACAAAACAATAGTGTAAACTATATGCTACTAATTAACAACCTAATTTGTAGCGTCATAAATATAAATAAATAGTAGTACATATTATATAGGCTTGCAACATATTTAAGATATAAAGTTTACTCAAAAACAATTAAAAAAAACCTTTTATAATATTCATCTTTAAATTAAAGAAACATATGTTTGTTGCATATAAATATGTTGAAACTTTTATATAAATATAAATATAAATATTATATATTTTTATTTTTGTTTTGGTTTTGGTTTTGGTTTTCAATTTGAAAATCAAACTAAAATCAAATTATTAAAATCAAATAATACTCGTCTCTAATTAAATATATATATATATATATATATATATATATATATATGCATATTTCCTCTTTACGCTTGATGTTATGCGGAAGAGGTTGTTACCAGCTTCATCCTTAATTAGCCAAACTTCCAAAGACCAACTATTTGACCTAAATTTTCGGTGGTGATTGAACTCTATCCCTTTTTGTTAATCATTTTAATAATGAATTTTACTATTTTAGGAGGCCCAAATGAGAAAGGACATTTACCTCAGAAAGCCACATGATGGCATAAGAAGAATGAACAAAGTGCAAGCAGTTATTAGGAAAAAGTCTCCCATAGAAAGACCCAGGAGCTCCTGCTATGAAGCACTTGCCCAAGTACTCATGTCCTTTCTCTCGGTCCAGCCTCTCATAAAAACTTGGCAATGACTTAAAAATGGTGTTGAAATCATTTCCAGGAAGATCATTCAAGAATGCTTGCAAAGAAGGAGGGGCATACTTTAATCTTTGGCATGTTTCATCGATGATGTCTATGATCTCAGCAACCACTGAAAGAGTGTTGGGTCCAGTGGAGCAACCTAAATCTGCAATCTTCAAGCACTCTGGCAACATTGCACAGTAAAGCTCTACTATGCTTTCTCCAAGTATTGGCTTCACCATGGATATCACAGTCCTCTGGAAGAAATCACAGGTATTAGTTATACCAATTTTTATACCTAAGAAAAGGCATAACGTTGATGTAAATGTTCAACTTAATGAAATGAGACGGGTAGAGAGATCAGTAACCTGAAGAGAGGAATTGTTTGCATAGCTGTCTTTTCCCACTCCCCCGTTCATGCGAAGGACTTGCTCTACCTTCATTGTTGCTATAAGAAATAGAATAAAGCTCTTCTCTTCTTTCCACACCTTGGTTGCTTTTGCATGTGTTTGCGTGTATTTATAGACACCTAGCTATACCCCCTTGGAGTATTATTCCACATTGCGTATAATTAAATAAAATAGGTCATTATCAAATTTAGAAAGTAATAATTAAGTTTTTAATTTGGAAACTATATAGTAGTGTTACGAGGAAAGTGTTTCTATCCCACATCGAACAGGAACGGGAGGTCTTGGGCTACTTGTAAATGGGTGTGCTGCACACTCCTATAAGCGCATTTATGGAGAAGAGGATAATGACCTAGTAACAAGTGGTATCAGAGCGGATCGAACCTCGTCTGACTCACGCCAAGCACCCGGGTCTAGGGGGACTAAGGGTAGGCAGGGTGGCCGACAGCAACGAGGAATCTGGTGGGAGAGAGTGTCACGAGAAAAGTAACTCTATCCCACATCGGATAGAAACGGGAAGTCTTGGGCTCTTTGTAAGCAAGTGTGCTGCACACCTCTATAAGCGCGTTTATGAGGAAGAGGGTAATGACATGTGACAGTAACACTCCGTAGAGGTAGTAGCTATATGCTAATTTCCAGTTGTGTGTGAATCAATAAAAAAAAAACACAAAAAATCAAGTTAAAGGAATTGTAAATCACTTGCCAATGCTTAAATTAGGATAATAGTAGAGAGGCATTCATATGCAAAGGATTATAGTAGAGAATCATTTAAATACCTGTACATGCAAATACACCTGGAGAGGAATACTCATTCTCCAATTAGTTAAGAAAAGAATCACATGAATCATGAACCATAACATATATAAGGGGGAAAAAAGCCTCCAATAAATTAAATTAAAAAATTGCAAAACATGTAACTTGTGCTAATAAGCCCTTGATTACGAGAAACCCAAGAGCTTTGGTAGGTAGAAAATTATCTCATACAAGATTGTTGGTTTCTGTGTGTGAACATTAGAACTAATTAAGTTGATGGTACGTCATTTTGACAGCAAATGGAAGTACAAGTTAAATTCTTCTTTGTCAAAGACATTGCTAAGTCGATGTATCATGTACTGATAGTCGTGTGCCTCCATCTTTGCTAAACCTCTGAAACAAGTACTCGTCGACTGCTTTAGTGTCTTTAGCAATTATTTCTGTTCTCGCCGCCTTATCCAGGCCGCTGTGTCAGCTTTCTTTATTTAGGCACTGTCCCAATGATCCACATCGAAAGCCACGAGTCTTTGCAGAGTGAAAGATCCCTCTGTCTTTGTCACTTTCTTAATATAACTTCTTCTGCAGTGGCTGTACATATGATATGGCAGTTTGAAAGAGTCCATTTTTTTCTTCTACAATCAAGCCCTGTGATTATTAATTTGAGAAAATTGTGAGAAATAGTTATCTTGATAACTTTATCGATTTTCTCTTCCATATTTATCTATTGTATTTTTAATTTCTCTCTCACTCTTTCAAGATGTCAAGTATGATTTTGACGTGTTTGAGATAGATGGGTATTTAGAAAATTTAATTTTTAAGTGTTTTAAATAAAATTAAAATGATAAAAATGATTATAAATATTTGAAATAATTTTTAATTGGATCATTTGGAACATAAATACCAATAAACTCAAAATTTTAAAATTTATAATTCAAAGAGAATTTTTTTTTATTTTAGCTGAAATAAGTATTTTAAATAAAAACATTTATATTTTGATTTATAAAACCATATTACAAATACTTTAATCGTCTCCAAATCATAAAAAAAAAATAAAGAGAGTTGAGAGGATTTGAAGTTTTGGTTTACAAGTAACAACAACATTTTAAGTATTAAAATGGAGCAAAAATTTTTTGAACATGACGTGTAATAATAATATTTTTTCAACATAGTGTATAAAAATAATAATTTTTGTCAGCATGGCTTATAACAATTTGTTTTAACTATGACATGTAACATGTTTTTGTACATAACGTATAATAATATTTTTTTCAACATAACATGTAATATCGTGTGCACTTGAATATGAGGAGGTTTCATCGAGAATAATTTTATTCAACTTGGTTAAAATAGTTAAAATTATAAAAAGAGATATTTTTCAAAACATTTTATTTTTGAAAATTATTTTTTAAAACGTTAACACAAATGACAAAAATATTCATTTAAGAAGCTGTCAATAAAAAACCTTAATTAAGAGCCTTGATTTTTGTATTGCAAATTAAGTCTATGTATGTGGTCTTCGGGGGGGGGGGGGGAAAGAAAAGGGAGGTGGGGGATTGATGCTGTTATCATTTGGTGATTGCATAGTTTTACTCAGTTATTTTAGTACTTCAACTACCAATACGAGGTTGCTGTCAAAATTAAAATGTCTTAAAACTAACAGGTTTCACATTGCATCTGAGCAGAAGCAAGGAATCATATGGGATCTTATGATATAAAACTTAGAGTGGCTTTTGCATGTTTCAATGGAGCTTTCCCATTTCTTATTTTTTTTAAACGTTGCATATGCAAGTTGCATGTTTAAAGTTGATTTCATTGAAGGTATTTATAATTTTGAGTTGCTTTCATCACTCCCATTATGTCATATATGTAATCTCATAGTCTAAGAAGGTAAGCCTGTGAGAAGCTAGGCAGACAACTTGCATAATTGCATGTGGAGGTTAAGAGGAGGAGCGGTTCCTTTCCCCACCGAATTCTAATCCTGGAGTGAACAGAAATCTTCTGTCCTGTCTTCTTCCTCTAGTGCCCACGCTCGGACAAGAGCAGGGGTAGATGGCATCAAGAAAGCAACACAATCTTATTCAAAAAGAATTTGACTAGTTGATAAACCAATCAAGTAATCCGATGATACAGGAATTGAAAACTAATATTAACAGCAACTGTAACTGCAGAGTGCTAATTTAGTTATTTATTAATTTGTTAGATTATGGTTTTAACAACCAACATCTTGTCTTGAACTGGCCTTGACAATTAGTCCTACTTTATTGTTCAATCTTTTGCACTCAAAAGGATTTGAGACAGAAGAAGCACTTACTGCGGCCGACTATTGAAGTGTAAATACTGTAATATTAAATTAGACATCTACGCCTTTTGCTTGGTGGGCTCCTACACCAATTTTTCTTGCAATATTTGGGTTCGTTCCTCGGCCGCAAAGGATGTGAACACCTGAATAAGGTTTTCTTCGAGTAATACCCATAGCAGATCGTTTGGTGGGCTCTGCTCCATTTATAAAGGCCTGGGAGGTCCACGAATCTGTGGGTTTGATTCGGAAATATTTGAAACAGAATGACTTTACAGTTTAAAGTTTATATTGTCCCAATTATTCGACTTGTTTCTGCTTATATTGGCTGTATAATCGATCTGTTGTTGAGGCCGTTATCATAACATATTCTAACGACCAATGTTTTGTCTTGTGGCGTTAGAATCTCAAGTCTTTGTTTTGTGACTTTTCCTGTTTCATCCTGAAATGAAGAAGAAAATAAAAGGGAAGAAGGGAAGGAGGTCAATAGAATGTTGTCTTCTTGCTCTTTCTTTGTCATAAAGAGAACACTTCTTCCCATCTTTTCCTTTCCGGTGGGGTGGGGGTGTTAGGAGACAATAAGAAGTCAAGACATTTACAGCAATTTGCTCCACCTTTCCTTCCAAGTGCTATCCTTTCAGCTAACGAGCCAACAGCCAAATTGGTCACTTTTTCTGTACAAATTATCAGAGGAAAACCAAATTTGCATTTTCATCGTACTTTCCTCTACATTTTATCAATATTTATGTACTTAAAATGAAGCTTTGATAATTCTACAAGCTGCTAATGAGCAGCACAAAAGGAAACTGGCATTCATCTGAATTATTGAGTTTGGAAGCAAATTATCAGAATAAGATTTCTTTTAAGCAGGCCAAGCGGATATAGCCAACGGAGAACTGAATTAGAAATGTTACCTATTATTGTTTAAGTGCTGATGGGCACAAATCAAATCCAAGTGGGCAGACAAGATTATGATATTTATCCAAAACAAAAAAGGAAGACACAATCATGAATCTTTGATGGGTTTTTGAACTTAGAATTTGTGCTCAAACCAACCTTTCCCAAGTCCCAGCATGGCAAAACGCGAGTTAAACCCAGCTGGCGTACATACCGTTACCAGCTGCAGTTCTTATCCCAAATTCAAGATTCACCCAGAGTAAAAGAAATCAGCCTTGTTTTGGATTGTTGATTTGAGGATTAAGGAAAAGATTAAAGTTGCTTTTTCCTGGTGGATTAGTACTGTGCAAAGGTTATAGAGGCCTCACCAATCAAAAACACTAAACATTACTTTGCTTGTTCAGCTTCACGCTTAGTTCTGTGACTTGAAATTCGAATATCTCCAACGGTAATTCAGCATCTAAAGGATAGAATTTTCATAGAACAAACTTTAGAATACATTCCTAAACCATGATGCCATATGGGCATATACTAGGGTGAGTGGTATAAACGGCTGGAAATTCTTCTTATCTGCATAAATCCCATTTTCAGGACAATATCTGCAAATCCAAAACAGAATAATCCTTTGCCTTTCACAGCAGTCTAACTGAGGTTCAGGTTCGTGGTTTTCTGACGTCTAGATTGGTTTTGTTGCATAGGCAAGCATCACAGTTTCAAGCCCGAATATATTACTATTAAGTAACTCTGGAGCAAAACGATTTTGATAGGAATATATCTCATTGGATTTGATGATCAATTAAACATGTACAAAGCAGTATAGGCTAACGAAAGGAAAGGCAAAATCAAAAAGACTAAAAACAATCGTAAAAACAGGAAAAGGGAGAACCAGGATTTGCTTCGTCACTCTAAATCTTGCCAAATCACCGTGTACTCTTCTTCCCTTAAAAGCTTTTTTTGCCTGGCAATGAAAGCCTCAACCGCATCGCGAAACTGGTCACTGCTCATTCCATCTTCAGGATATGAACTCTTCACCATTGTCTGATCAGAATCATTGTGTTTTCTGTACTTTTCTGATTCCAATCGCCTGAGTTGCTGGCAAGCTTCATTGCAGTTCACCCGCTTGAGATTCTCTGATTGACTTCTTTTGTAATGCTTTGTTCCCTTTGAAGTATGCACATTGAGACAAACTATTTTCTCTTCAACTACACTCTTCTTGCTTTGTTTTTCTCTATATTCGATTCCATATCGATGAATTGCCTGACTTTTCTCACTTTTCTCAACGAATTCTTGGTAAAGATCGGTTCCTGAACTCTTTGCAGTAGAATCTTGAGCTGAAAACTGCCCAGCTTTTGCGAAGAGAGTGATGACTATCACGTTCCCGACGATGAACACAAAGCGAGGGCTCACAAGAACAACTGACAAGCCCCGGACGTACTCGCCAGAATTTTTAACAGCTACCGGCAGCTGAGTTGTAAACCTGGAGATCAAGACCAGAACAACACAAAACTCAACAAACCTGAGCCAGTTTGCTATGTTGTACAAGTGACGATGCTTCAAGATTGCATTTCTCTTCTCAAGTTTTATGTCAAATGTATCCATTTACAAAAGAAGGAAGCAGAGAAAATCAGGGGGTGGAGGAGGAGGACTAATTCTTTCGGTTCTCAGTCCAAAGAGAATTGTTTAAATATGGGAGCTTTAGCAGCAACTGTCTCTCTTGGGTAGAGAAGAGAAGCGAGCTACTATAAACATAGTAGATGCTGAAAAGAATTTGCTGATTAAGTTCATGGAAAAAGAGAGCAAAAGAGGAGTGAGAATTGACAAAAACAGATGAAACAGAGTGAGCTATTAACTACTCTGTTAGTTCTGTATGGATTAATTCTACTCTCCTCTTCGGGCAGGGAATATTTTTGTTCTTGAATACTTAAAGCTGTGTAGGGTTGCTACTTATAGAGCTTGAGGCATATGAACCTTTCCTTTCTTTTTTTTTTTTGTTGTTTTCTTATATTCCATCTTTTTCTTTTTCTCTCTCTTTTATTGAATTTCTTTGAAAAAGGAAAGACACATTAATATTCCTTCCATTTACTTTATTGGAAAATATGCTGGTTCTGGGTTTTGATTTTCCACAGTTTATTTCTCTTTTTTATCTGTATTTTTCTCACCCGTCCCAGGGTACTTTAATTTGTACTATCACCAGTCTTGAATGTTCTTGTTTTTTTCCCACACTACAACTAGCCTGTCAGGAACACTACAAGTAGCAAGAACCATGAATGCGATTGCTAGGGAAGAAAGTGACTAATTATTCCGGCTAAACTTTGCCTTTTTCTGAGAAAACAGATCCCTACAAAATATATTTCATTATAATTATATAATTAAAAAATTAACTTCTATGGGCAATTAATAAATTAAAGTTCTATTTCCATACGAAATAGTGATTATATTTTAATTTAGTTAATTAAACCAAAAATATCATTCATGAGAATTTTGAAGTGAAATTTGTGTTGATTAGAATTTACAATCTTATTTGAATAAATTTAGTTTGTGTACAATAATAAATAGTTATATAATTTTAAATTTCTTATTCTACAATTAATCCTAATCTCATTTTATTTTAAATTTTGTATCATAAAAGTATATTTGTAAATTTTAGAAGCTATGTAATGCTTTTGAAAACTTGAAAGAAAAAACATTTCAAACTCTGTTTTTGCTATAAATGAGACTAGAATAGCCATGAATTAATATTTGTGCAAAGTTATTGAGAGAAGACATAAAAGGAGTTTTGGACTAATTTAAAAATCATTAAGAGAGGCTTTATTATATTTTAAATATTTAATAATTAAAGAATTATTTCATCTTGTCAACTTAAAAAAAATTAATCGAGTCACCCAAGTTTTTATTTTTTTAAAATTTATCTTTATTATTTTTTAAATAAGTTTCATAACACTAACAACTGACAATTGTCGTCTTGTAACTAACAATTCATCCTTTCTTTCCTCTGTGGAAAAAAGAAAAAAAAGTCGCATTGATGATTGCAAATTTGCAAGGAAGAGCGGGAGAGGTGGCAGAGAACTAAAAACCCGAAATGCTGACAATGACTTGTCTAGTACTGTTCAGCCACGCGGCGACCGCAGACACGATATGGCACCATGAACAAGATTCCCATGCCCGTTCCTTACTCGCTAAGCCTTTGCCACGTAATATCTGCTTTCGTTCGCTTCCTTCTTCAAAAAACTTTTAACCTTTAACTGGCGTTCAGTTATTCACTCCCCTGTGCCGCGGACCAACCAATCATAGAGTGAGACCACCCTTTTTCACTTTCGTTTGATGCCACGCGGCATTTGTGTATTTTTGGGTTTTAGCATAGCTTTAATCACCAAAACTAATTTGTCTTCTTTTCTGGTTTTTATGTTAAAAGGACGATTTGATGGAGACATTAAATGTTTCTTATTTTATTTTTTTTCTTAGAAAAGTGAGAAAAGGAGTAAAGATGGTTAATCTCATCCATTGTGCACTTGACACATAATAGCTTTTTTTTTTTAGTAAAACATAAAGTAGCCATACTTTAAGGAACAAAATAAATGGAGGCGGTTATAAATAGGAACAATACATCAAAAATTCAAAAGCAAATAATCTCATTTACCTTTTAATTTTGAATTATCTATTGGCAATAGTATTATAATGATCTTTTATTAGTTGAATTATATAGTGAAAAGCTCTCTCTTTTTTTTTCTTTTTTTAACATAGAGTTAGAGAAAATTTAAGACATAATGTTTTAAAAAAACCTTTAAATAATTTAAATAAATTTTTATTTTTCAATTACCTATTCATATAATTTTATATATTTTTATTTAGTTCTTATAACTAATTATTGATTAAATATCATTAGTTAAAATAAAAGAGTAAGAGTTTGGTTAAATACAATAAATGAATAAAAATTTATTTATTTTTTTTGAATATTTATAAGTTTTTTTATGTCTTATGACAAACTTTAAATTTTATAGTATAATTGACTAGCAATGACAATTTTTGATCTTACATGAAAACCAAATTGGCATCGATTTTAAAGAGGGAAGAAGGAGAGGAAGTTAGTCCAAATTAACTTGATTTTACAATTTAATTTTAAGATGACTAAGATTAAAAATTCAAATATTTTTATTTTTTTCTAAGGACATGAAAAATAATGTATTTTTCTGAACTTTGTTGGGTATTTTTTACTCTTGATATCGATAATATGATATTATTTTTTCTTTGGAACATTGTATCATAATTCATGTACGTAAATATGTATACATGTACATATTAAGTCTAAGAAATCGACAAAAACCATTCATACTAAGCTTGACCTTTGAAAAATCAGAAGCCACATTACTCAACAAGAATAGTTAGTAGATTGTCCTATTAGGGAAATTTTCTTTTCCAAAAAATAAAGTGTTAAACAAAAACTAATAGTTTCGGACTATTATAAAAAATAAAAAATAAAAACCCACTTGGAAGAAGAATTTAATAAATGATTGGGCTTTCAGGGAAAGATGTCTTTAGCCTCAAATGGGCTAGACCTCCGGGATCCAGTTGCTCCTTTATTTTAGGTTATCCACTCCAACTAGTGGCAAAACCATGACCTTTTTGGAGCATAAATTCATGCTATCAAGATAAATAAAATAGTCAATTCATAAAATAAGGACAATTCGAATCTTGAATTAAGAATTTAATTAAAAGGTAAACCCTTCTTTTAAGTAATTAATGGAACTTTTCTTTCTTGGAAAAGCTTTAAAGAATATGCAAAGGAAGACAAATTTTAAATAATTTTAATTTTTTTCAAGTAAATTTTAATATAAATTTTATTTTTAAACAAAGTTACATCTTTAATTTTATTCAATAAAATTACCAAAATATTTTAAAAACAGAATTTATATATACAGAAGTAAGTGAGAATAAAAAAAAGTATAAAATGTTATGTAAAAATCATGTGAAGTGTAAATGAAATCTAAAACAAATGAGAAACCCCAAAATCCAATATGATTCATTAGATTAAGTTATAAATTTTGAATGAACATCAAACTCTTTTCTTTCTTGTTCATGAATTTGTAAATTGATTCCTATCCGGTTGGAGTGGGAGCTGATTCAATAACACGGGAGCAAGAATCAACTTAAAATTCCTATTAATAGCGGATGAGAAACTATTATGCCTTTGGTTTGCTTACATGCCCACAGCCACCAAATCAAACGAGTCGGATTCGTTGATTATTGAGTTGGATTCCACTAATTTCTCTCTGCTCCTTTTAATTTGATTCTCTTTATTTAGGAACATCAAAAAGGTAAACAAATAAAATAAATCCTTTCTTTTCTTATTCTTTATGGGGAACAAAGATTTTTCTTTTTTTCCTTGATTCCCTTTCTTTATAGACAGGAAAAATTAAAATTTACAAAACAGAGGCAAAAATCCGACCTGCCGGATTCGAACCAGCGACCTAAGGATTAGCTGTTAGACTATGCCCACTACAGTCCTCCGCTCTACCAACTGAGCTAAGGTCGGTTTTGTTCAGCAAGCATCATGAATTTTATAGTTGAACATACACTGTTTAATTATTTTTATTTGTTGATTTGAGGTCAAGATTATGCACTGCATTTGAGGTTTAGTTTGTAAGCTTTCTTTTACCTGCTTGTCTTGGTGGAAAGTTATTAAAACATAAGGGTTCTGATTAGACCATGATAAAGTTAATTGGAAGGATAATTCTTTTTATCATTTTCTTTTTGTGTTGACTTCTTTTTAAAAGATAAACAACACTTGTGAACTAGTAGTCTAAAGTATAAACCACAATCTTAAAAAACAGGGTGTTGTTGGCAGGACAGCAAGAGAAACCATGTTACATCAAAACATCTCATCTTTTGAAAATTGGGTTTCAACACTCTTTTTTCGAGTGATAAAATTGATTAATTAGAGGCAATGCATGAGCTTACCAGGTTCTCCAAGAAAACCCTTCTTGGTTAGATCTAAATCTTCTTTGTCGATTAGATCTTATTATCCTAATCAAAGCTTAAAATATTGAGTTCAAGCAATCTTGCATCTACCTTCTTATCTTTGAGTCTTTGACCAAACCTCTAGTCTGCCATAAACAATTTACAAGAGCTATCTTGACAATACAATATTATCATTGAATTTTCATTATTTCATGATAAATGTTAACAACATAAATTAATACTAACATATTTCTGTTATATCTTTCACTTTCTTTTTTTGAAACAAAAGATATAAGTATATCATGCATTACTTAATTTAAAATACATAGTGGGAGAAGTAAGTTTGAAACTTCAGCAAGAAGAATGCTTAATTACCCAAATAAGGAAACAAATAGAAACTGTAATTTCAGGAGTGATGTGGCTACTTTTGAAAGAGTTTTCAATGATTTGATGCAGTGATTTAGATACAAGTGAGGGTATTTTAGGATTTAGATTATCAATATTTAATGTCAAATTTTCCTACGGAGATGCAAATATAGTAAGAAAAATAAAAATTCTTTTATGACTGATCATTTCAATTAGTTTTAGCATTCATACCAAAAGGAAATGCATAGTTTTAGCTCAAAATGATGAGTTATTTAAATACCATTAGACAGCAATATAGTTTGACTTCTATGTTATGTGAACCTTTTTTTTATACATTGCACCAAGACGACTGGATAATTTTGATATAAATATTAGATGTATTTCAGTGGAAATAGATAAATATAGGAAGTATAAAACTAGGAACTTGAGCTTTAAACTGGCCTGATCGTTGATTAATTCTACAAGTCAAAAATCCCATGATCGAAGGGATATCGTATCTCCTCATGATAAAATGCATGAGATTATTCACTGTTTCATAGGTTCTTCATGAATTGAAATCTAGCTTATACTCGGGTTCAAATATATAGCAAGTGATGCTATTTTCAACTTTGACTATGTTTTGCATGGAATAAATGCTTAACAAAAATTAATATGATCGAGTAATTAAGATGATCTTCTGGTGAATATGACAATCATGTACCAAAAGCATAGCTTTCAATACCCATGCTTAATTATCAGTCAAAAGGAATTCTATATGGAGTACTTGAAAATCGATAGCCAATTACGTTAATTGTTTTTTCCTTTTTTCTCTAATTAAATTGCAATAAATGATAGAAAAAGAAGTACAAGTACACATACAAAAATCAATAAAAGAACTCCTTAACACGCCTCAAATAATACACTAATAAGATGAGATGATTACACACACAAGAACTTTACGTATGTATGAGTGTTGTCTTGCATCGGGGTCTACTCTTTTGGATGGGTGGGTGATGTTGCTGTTTTATTTTTTTTTTCTGGAGTCAATTCAGGCTTTGATTTTTGCTTCAGGGTGTGAAATTGTTGTTTGCCAGACTCAGTTGTTGTAATTATTGCCTGTCTCCTAATAAATCAATCTCTTGCTTTGCTAGAAGAAGAGGAAGAAAACCATCACAGCCTTTTACTTTTTGCAGATTACTGGTTGCTCCCTTCCCTGAAATCGGATGAGAAGGATAGATGAAGTTATCAGTTAAGTAAATTAACAAGATTGTGGCATTTCACCCAGGAGCCGGCATAAATAAAGCAGTATTGAAGTCAACCTTACTAAAATATAGTAGCTACATTTGACATCAGAAGCAAATTAAGTCCAGATCTCGGAAGAGTAAACTTGCAATTGAAGATGATAGGCTATACCATCTTTGTTTATGAAGTTCATTTGTCTTGTCCTTTAAACAACTTGCATCAACATCAACTAACATCTCCTATAAATAGCCCTAACATCCTCATTCTTTGGCACAAGCAAGAAAACATGGCTAAGTCTCTTAAATCTGTTCACTTCTTTGCTCTCTTCTTCATCATCATCCTTCTTGCAAATCGGGGTGGGTATTCAATATATTTGATCCCAGGCTATATACATAGTTTTTTTTTTCTTTTAATTAATTCTTCTTTTTGTTCATCTTATAATTGATAGGAAAAAAGAACTGAACTCGAAATATTTAGACTAGAGGCTTTCTAACAGGAGATTATTATTTTTGTATGCTTACAGAAATGCCAGTGGCAGAAGCAAAATTATGCCAAAAGCGCAGCAAGACATGGACAGGCGCCTGTATCAAGACAAAAAACTGTGACCGCCAGTGCAAGAAATGGGAGAAAGCACAGCATGGTGCTTGCCACTGGCAGTGGCCTGGATTTGCTTGCTTCTGCTATGTCAATTGTTAGTCACTAAGCAGAAACATTGGCCGACATTATCCCTTGTGGGTTACTGCATTCATGAGTCAAATCTAGCTTCTAGTACTTCTTAATAAGAAATGGTTTCTGTTGAAACCGAACAATGTGCTCCCACTCCTATTTGTTGTTGTCATTGCCTCTTGTACTTGGTGTCAGATCAGTGTTTTGTACACCATTAATGGAAGCTTATCTTATTTTCTAGATAAAAACTTTTAGCACAATGGCGACCAAGTAGCTTTTGATGGATATCTGCATGCTTAATTTCTCTCATTTCCTTTTCCCCACTAACATTATTTTGATTGAACCCTGAACCTTTAAATTAGAACGTTGAATTTACAAATCATTTTCTCTCGTTCTATCGGTCAATGCAACTAATTATTATCGTAAGACTCCGAGTTAACCACACACCTATCCTATTATTTGGCAACGACTATAGTAAGGTCGACTTATATATGTTACAAGTTCAAAACTAACCTTAAAAATATAGTACATGTTCAAAGGATGCTGGTTTAAGCTGGGCTGTTTTCTTGATTCCGGTTTTATACGGGGTTTTTGGGCTGCTCTCTTGATGTCTGATTGTTTATAGCTTGTTGTTCATTATAGGCGATTTATTCAGAGAATAAGTGGCAGAAGTTTTTGTCTAGTCTGCCAAGGGTCGGTTAATGATCAAACTTATTTTCTTTTGGTTTGGGGTAAGCTCAACAGGTTCAATGTATGAGATACCACCAAAGCCTTTTTGAGTAGCAGAGTCATTTTGACAATCGTTCAGATTACTTTTATTCAGAGTGACCGTTTATGTGATGAGAGTTTCATGTTGTTTAAACTAGAGACTTGAAATGATATGTTGATAATGAGATTAGTAAAAGTCACATTTTAAAAAATAATATATATTTAAATTTATTGTATAAAAAATATAAATTTTTAAAAATTTAAGTATAATATGTTTAATTCATTTATCTTATTATCAAGATTTATTGGTTGGATTTGGACGAGGTACGTGAGTTACCTTAAGACATTAAGGCAAGCACATTACTTAGAGATAATTTTGAGTTTAAAACTTCGCATTCGATTGTCAGTAAAAGACATCACTTCTTAATTTTTAATTTTTTTATTTTTATGTATATAAAATAGTAAATGCATAATTTTACCACCCTTAAACAAGTAAAATATATTAGTTTGGAATAGTGGTAAATCATTTTTTTTCCCTTGAGGTTTAAAACTTGTTTTCCTTTTTTTTCTTTTTTTTTAAGAATTATTTGGGAAAAAGATTGTCAATACCATTGACACGGATTTATTTATTTATTTATTATTTTACTTTTATTTTTGGATTTAAAACTAATATTTAAATTATTAATGAAATTTTATATTATGATTTAATTTTTTTGTTTCTAATCGACCTGATCTCTTTAACCTTATTGCTCTTTAATCACTTCTCCTATAAAATCCTAGATCCGCCACCAGTCATGTTCTCAAATACTTACTTTATTTAGCAAGCAAAATAAGGTTCAAAGAAGTGAATGTGATTATCATGTGTTCCGATGGCTGGATGGTCTTGCTTTTTGCTTGGATCAAACATGCTTGATTTCCAGTATTGTGAGGGTTTTTTTCCAGTATTACTAAGGAGGGAGAATTAAAAGGGTTGATGACTTAAGATCTAGCTTTGAATTGTTTCTTTTAGAGAAAAAAGCAATGATCGAGAGCATTACATTTTCCCCGAGAATACAAATCCCAAAAATCAAGGAAACCGTAAAATCGTGAGAACTAAAATAATTGAAACTTAAACGAAGAACTTTGAATTTGTTGCTTCTTTGCATGTGCTCAAGATTATTACGTTCTGACTTTTTTTGTTTATTTATTTCATTGTTATGCTAATCTTGTTCCAAAGCAAGTTTTTGACCAAAGTAGATAGAGATCAACTGAACCTAAATTGGCTATAAATATCCGTAATCTTGTGCCACCGAGAACATCACAACTCTACAAGTGAAAGAAAACATGGCTAAGACTCTCAAGCCTGTTTACTTAGTTGCCATTTTCTTTATCCTCATCCTTCTTGCTAACAAGGGTTAGTACTTTCCCCATTTCCCCATTCCTAGATGGCAATTATCTGGATGATATGACTCGGTGAAAATTAGAATATATCATTGATACATCCACCCCTTCATTTCCATTGTAATTTTTCTGATGTTTTTACAGCACCATGTTCCTGTGTTTGATACTTATTGAATTTTGCAGAGGTAAGGGTGGCGGAAGCAAGAAAATGTGTAAGGCGGAGCCAGACATGGTTTGGGGTGTGTGGAATTTCTAGCCACTGTGCCGATCAGTGCAGAAGATGGGAGAAAGCCAAGCGTGGTGGATATTGTCGCTTGGATGGTTTTGGACTGGCTTGTTTCTGCAAATTCTGCTGAACAAAATGACACAAATATCGAAATGTCCAACCGACTGTCATTACGTAGTGTCAAATTATTAGAATCAAGCCGAAATAATGTTGTTATCGCTGCCGGTAGCCTGTGGTAAGTGGCAACCAGTATGCTTCTAAAAGCAACCAAAGCTGTTTTAAATTGAAATTATGATGCTTCATGTTATTCCTCCTCCGTGAATCCATTGGGAAATTGTAGCTTCTTCTGAGATTCGGTTGATGAAATTTCATTCGAAAGGAGTAGAATTTGTGTTCATTAATTACATTATTACGCAGATGGGCAAGGATGAGCCCCCTTGCTGTTGGGTTCTGCCCAAATATTACCTTTTGAGCTTTTTGACCACAAATTAATTTTCCAGGAATTTTTTTTAAGACAAGACCATTATTTTCACTTTGAAAAATTAGACGAATGAAGTTTGGAATGTATAAGTTTTTTAGAATTTTTTATCAACTGGGTATGAAATTAAAATATTTTATTTACTTCTTTTAAAACACTTAACGTAATAAAATTATTATCAAATTAAAACAAAAAAATTTTAAAAAAATTAGCATCTTTCGTCATTTTATACTCAAAACACTTTTTCACAATGTGGAATCTAAGTGTCTGTTTTTTTTTATAGTCAAAATCTGATTAGTATAACTATATATTTAAATTATTTTTTTAAAAAAAGAAAATCCTTAAATCATTTGAGATATAAGAAGGTTGATAGATTAATTTTAGTTTATATATTCTATTTTTCCATGTTATTTATGTAATCAATTTATACACCAAGAAACGACTTAATTTTAATCTTCACTCTCTCATGTTATCTTTTTCTAAATAATGACTCAAAAAAAATTCAAAATAAAGATAAACAATTCAAGATAAACAGAGTGACACATAAAATTAGAAGAATAAACGAACATAATTTCCCTTCCGTTCTTTCAAGTTTTAATCAATGGCGTTGACCAAACATAGCCATCCTTGCCTTCTAAAATGCTTATAATTACTCCTTTTTCAAAATTCAAAAAATCACTTTCTCTCTTATGTATCTGAAATGAGACTATTGATTTTTTAATTCGGGTATATATATGTGCACCAAAATATATTATTGCAACAACAGTTAAAAATTTCACGATTGTGAATGGTCAAGAAGTTGACTATCAATCATTTCACCTAATTATGCTAGTGCTGATCAGAGGTAGTTTCGATTCTACAAATTATTATGTTAAATCTTCAGCCTTGTCTTGACAGCAACACAGAATTACAAGCTGCAATATAATATGATTCAGTTTTCCTTCATGATCATTAGCAGTCACAGTTAACTTGTTGCAAACCTCTTATAGTATGCTCATCATGACGCAACAGAAGGATTTGGGGCAGATTTGTATATGATAATAACCTCCAATTGTCCTAGGTTGAGTAAAATGTTATGCTCTGCCTGTCTTTCTCTTGTCAGTCGTCATTCTTAAGGTTGTAATAATATAAAGGGTTCAAAGATGTATTCCAAGGAATTTAAACTTGCCTTAAAGACTATATAAGAAGACAATTACTTTTTACGTGCGCATTTTAAACCTGAAACAATGAGATGTTAAGGTGGTCAATGCGTGGTTAGTCCCTCTAAAGGATGCTGTTGACCTTGGAAGCCATCTGGACTCTTTCATGGCTGGTTGAAACCGTGCACGCCCCAAGCACGAAGCGACAAGGCTGGTTTGTAAGAGGTGATCATGATGGCAATTTGTAAACCGGTCGTCACCTTAATTTAGAGTAAGACTTTTGAAGATTTCATTAAATAGAGTATTACTTGTTTCTTATATTGGCAAGTTGGGCAACCTTACATTTTTAAAAAGCTGATGGAATGTTTCTGAATCGAACTCAAGTGGCGAGAGGTCTTACAATTTAGTCGCAATGCTTAAATTTCTTGTTGTATCAACAAAAGAAAAAGTCCTTATACCAAAGAAAAAGTTTGAAGGGCTTGGTTGTTAGTTAGGTGTTGTTTTTAAATGGAAAATGGTTTAGAATATAGCAAGCATTATCAAATGATGAAGCACATGCAATTAGGACAACACACGACTAAGTCCTAGAGACTATGAAGTTTGTTATAATCCCATTTATATTGTGATTTAAATGGAGTTATCAGAGTCAAACAAAAACAAAAATATTACATAAATTATGGTATACGAAGTTATGCATAAATCAAGACCACTGAAATATTGCAAATTTTAACTAATTAAGGCTTTAGAAATCAGTGCATTTGAACTTTTCTTGTACATGCACCAGTTGAGGTTACCTTTGTCATCTCCATTTATTTATTTTATCTTGCAACTAATCTTTGTTACTTCCAGGATTTGACCGCAAGCTTTGGTTATAAATACCCTCAAAATCATCACATTGAGCGAGCTAGTCAAAACTCTAAACAACCTTGGAAGAAAAGTGGAAGAAAACATGGCTCGAATGTCTGTCTATTTCATTGTAATATTGGCCATCATCATCCTCGTCGCAAATACGGGTGAGCGCAGCCTCATACTCTATATGTGTTAGAAAGTTTCAATGTCAATGCACTTTATTCCTTGCCCAATTTTGTCTATTGGTCACTTCTTGAATCATATTTCGCCTTTGTGCATTTTAGTCGAAGGGAATTCAACCCCCAAAACCCGGTGGGATTACCAAGATCTTTCATTTACATGTTAGCTAGATTACCACTTGGCATCTATATGTAGCTCTTTCACTAAGCAAAGAGTTTGGGGAAACAATGTTTTCACTGGAAAACAGACGATCAGCCCGTCTTGCCTGCACAATGATGCATTTAGCCAAGTAAAGTTGCATAGTTAATCATTTCATCATTTGCAGAAATGAGGAAGTCAAAAGCAAAAGCATGTTCATGTTCATGTGGAAAAACAAGCAGAACATGGTCAGGTCTGTGCCGGTGCACATCTCTGGCCTCCAGCAGCACACAATGCCAGAAATGTGAGAAAGCCATCAGTACTGGAGGTTGTTACTCTAACGGGTGGGGAAGGGCTTGCTTCTGCTTCTTTTGTTGAAAAAAATCTAAATGTCTGCAATTACTTATATGTAACATATCTATCGAATGTACTTATAACTCATGCAGTAGGATCGAACCAAAACATAATTGTTGTTATTGCTCTTACTGCCACTTGTATTTAGCTGAAATAAATGTATCTGTTTTAGTGTTTGGAGTACTGGCTTCAGAGAGGCTAAATGTAAGGATCAATATGGTCTAAACCTACCATTTTGAGTACCATTCAGCAGAAGAAGTTTTATATCAGAAGAAAACAGGAGCTGTGTAGATGGGCTCAATTAGCTGATTTTGGACTTGTTGAGTGGAATTAATAAAGGTAACAACTGCAAATCGACTGGATAATTCGCAATATATGGGTTATGACCAGGTCACAAGAGGAAGAAATGCTCCTGGTTAATTGGGCGAACATGAGCCTGAACACTTTAGATCATGTTCAGGTATCACAGTTAGCAGAACTGGTGGAGCTAAGAAGCATTGCTTTTGAACAGTTCACAAGAAATTATTCTTGATGAGGCTACAGCAACACTGACAGTTCCATTAATGTGAATTTGAGTGCTTTCTCCTTTTCATTTTGCAAATAGATACTGGAAAGGCTTCTATTAGCACTAGGTCTTTATTTATTTTTTCTTTCCATTTTACATTTAATCAGTCAAAATTGCTTAACATGCATCCCTCGGGGGTCACAGGTTGGACGAACCCTGCTCTTCAATGAGGAAATGGAGTGACATGCTAGAGGAAATGGATCGGCTGTTGAAGGATGGCAGGATATTGCCCTGTAGGAGCTGGTCAGGAGGAGAAGGGCGTGCAGCTTGGGACATCAAATATGATGAAAACGAAATCAAGTTGCGGCTCGATGTGCCAGGACTCGCCAAGGAGGAGATTAAGGTCTGCGTGGAGGACGATACGCTAGTTATCAAGGGAGAGTACAAAAAGCGAGCTGGAGATGATTGTTGGCATTGTAGGGGCTGTAGTTCCTATGATACCTGTCTTCAACTCCCCGAGAGCTGTGATAGAGAGAACATCAAGGCAGAGCTCAAGGATGGAGTTCTACTCATCTCCATTCCTCAGAAGAAATTATTGCGCAAGACTATGCATATAGAAATTCAGTAAATGCTTTCTGTAAGTGTAGTGTTGAACTTGATAAGGTGAAAATTCGTTTTCCTCCTGTTTTCTTACGCCTTCGTAACTGGGTTACATTTGACAACCAATTGATGGTGGAGAACGTTACAGTGTTGACAATATAAAATTCTTATATTGTATTTTCCCAATAGAAAATTGTAAACCCATCTTCTGACTTGAATATAAACATAGCAGATTTACTTTTTTATTGATAGCGATGGATAAGTTCAATTGTCATCTTCTGCTTTCGTCTCCCTTTTCTCTGTTAACAAATCAAACCTACCCACAATAAATACACATTGAAATTTTCTTGCTATATATATTCCACAGTCTCCCTTTGAGCTCTCGCAAAGCACAACAGCAAAATGGCTAGGTCTGCCTCCTCCCTTGCTCTCCTCTTGCCTTTTCTTCCTTCTATCTACCCCTAATGTTTAGTACCTTCTTCACATATCCATTTCGTGCACTCTGTTAGAGACAAATTGAATTTAATTTTGCACCCATATTCACTTATGCTGAGTAGTAAAAGTCCAATCTTTTTTCTCTCTCAGACACAAAAATTTACAGTTATATTATTATGCTTGTAAAAGCTGTTTTTAAAAGAAATTTATATTTGTCGAGAAACTTACAAACTATAGATATATAACTAAACAAATAAGTACATCTTACAATTTGACTCAATGCAGAGACGAAAATGGCAGAAGCAAAAACATGTGAGAAGCGCAGTCAAACGTGATCAGGATGGTGCGGCAACTCTAGCCACTGTGACGGGCAATGCAAGAACTGGGAAAGTGCAAGGCATGGATCTTGTCACACAGATGGCCTCGGATGGGCTTGCTTCTGCTACTTCAATTGCTGAATTAAAAAGCTCAAAACCCTGCAGCTCGTGACCGTTGTCTGGCTTGCACTCCCCCAATTAATGTCGAGTTGTCATGCTAAAATAAACCTGCTGTTTGCTTGTTTTTTCTGCTATATGTATATATGTTTCTGTTGGGGACTGAGTTTGTCTTACATCAGCTAAATAAACGTGTGTTTCAGCCCAAGCAATCTACTCTTTGGTGTTTAATTAGTGAACTTTTTGTATTATTTCTCTTGTTGCTCTTTTGGATATATACAAATTCAATGAAAATACGATTAATAGGCGATGAGTATTATAAGCGACGAAATAACCTTGTTGCCACAATGCATTGACATTTAACCTTTTGTTGTTCTGATTCGTAATAAAAAAAAATTAATGAATAGTTCTAACTTTGAGCAGAAAAGATTAATTTTCTAGCATGCTAGAAAAGATTAAGGATGCCCAAGGCCAACCGTTCTTTTTTACCTTAATAAACTATGTAAAGCTACATAAGTCAAATTAAGAACATAATATCTAATAAATGTTGAAACATGATGTAAAAAATCTTTATCATCCAAGTCGACATTCAATTAATTCTTCCCTAAAGCTGGATTATATTAAGTTGCTATCAAATATTGAACTGCATTGAGTAAAATTCCATACTGTTATAATTCTTCAAAAAATTCAAGGAGGCGCATTAATTAAGTCTTTTTTTTTAAAAAAAAAAAGACAGTGACACAAAGCTTAATTATCGTATCTATCTCCATTACTGATGGAATGTGTCCCGCCTTAAGCCTTGATGGCTTAAATGAGCATAGCTGTCAAGAAGGATTGCAGCTGATTCACTTGAACACCTAACCATCTATCTGATAACTGATAAGTAGTTCCATTTTTCCTTTTTTGGGAGGGTAGGTACCATGGAAAAAGAAGTAAAGGCAATCAATCCAGGCAAAACCGCGGCAATTTGATCCAAGAAGAACGTCAATCCATTTCTCCCGAATATGCTCCCATCACAACATGCTTCAAGCCTTCAACGAATTAATTATAACAGACGGACTAACCAGATTTTCCAACAAGGAGTTAAGGACAGGAACATGGTTGGGCCAAATCGGAAAGATGATTTGGTTTTTTTTTTTTTTTCTATCAGACGAACATTTTGACAACTTTTGTCTCTCCTGCTTCATCTTGTTAAGTTTGATGATGATGAACAATCAATAACGTTTTCAACTTTCAAGGGTGGTATTGCTCATAAATTTGACAATGTTACTCCCAAGTCCCAAATAGAAGTTTTGAGGTCTACAATCTTATGATATTCTCCGTTGTATTCTATTCTTCAAGTCAACTTTAATGGAATTATCACGATCGATATCAATAAATTGAAACAGAAAATTTCAAATCTTTTGTTTGATTTCTCCTTCTTGTAGTGCCCCATCAACTTCCATATGGTACATATCTTGGGTCTAAGTAGACGGCAAAGTGGGACTAGATCACCCAGCCATTGAAGAAGACGACGAAAGATAGTTGGCTTGAGGATTTATCAAAGCATCCCCTTCCTAAAAAAAAGGTTCTGCAAATTGGAAGAGGACATTAAATTTGACTTAAAATTCAATCATGCAGGGATGGGAATGATAGCAATCCATTTTTCGAAGAGCGCAGCAAGACGTGGCCAGGCTTTTGCAACAGCGCTGCGTACTATAACAAACAGTGCGGGGAATGGGACGACGCTAAGCACGGTGCTTGCCACTACGAATTCCCTGGAGTTGCATGCTTCTGCTACTTCGACTGCTGGTTTGCTTAACTGACAAAAAATTCATGTCAAATCCATTGCTGCTTTCTCTGCTTTGCCTCGTTACTCCCGAATTATGTAGAATGAAAATATGGCAGTGTTTTCCGCTGTTTTACAGCATCTAAGTGATCAAGTAACCCATGTTGGGGATGTTGTATCATGCATGTATGCTTTTCCATTTCAGATTTCAATAAAAGATGTTATGCTTTTAAGCTTAAATTAAGATTTACCTTTACTCCAAAAAAACAAATTAAGATTTACATCCCAAATAAGACAAAAAAATGCAACATAAAATAAAAAAAGTAATAGATACTAATAATAAAATAAAAAATAAGTAAATAGTATTACTTTTTGGTGCATATAGATGAATAGATTATAATTTAATAAAATTTTCATTGATATATATTCTTTTGCTTAGAATAAAAACATCTTAAATTATTTTAAGGTAACGGATTGGTCTCAAGAATTGTTCCCAATATTTTTAAAAATTTAATAGAACCGAAAACAACATTCTCAAACTTAACAAATAACATTTTTAAAAATATTGAATATCCAGTAGAAAAATTAAAAATGCAAAATCGACTGCTTCGATTGAATGTTTTGATTAAATAATGATGTATAAAGTAGAGATACTTGGTCATAATAAGTTCAATTTCAATAAATAGTTTTGAAAATTTAAAAAAAAATAAAGAAATAAACAAAATATTTAAAAATAACTTGCACTCGAGCATTTAACTTATTAGTTAGTGCATTATCTTCTAGCTTAAAAAACAAGGTTCGAATCTTCCCTTCTCCAATTATAAAAAAAATATTTAAAAATAACCAACAAAAATATTTTATAATATATTATTTGACATTTCTCCTGAAAAAAGAAAATAAAATTGAGTCTGGGCTTTCAATGAACGCCAAGTTTTGTGCATTTTCTTGGCCTGCTTTCTTTCTTAGTTGATTTGTTGGGTTTGTTACGGCAAAGGTCATAGGCCCGTTATCTACTGTTTTTCTCGGGTCAGCCCGTTAAGCTCAGAACTGAACAAGTGAGAGAAAAGGAAACCCATTTACACTCAAACGATAAAACGACGGCGTTTGGAGATCCCTGGCAGGAAGGACCAAACCCTAGGGTTACAAAAGGCCAATATACGTCCCATTCCTTCTACCTCACCGCACCAAAACCAAAACCCCAAAACTGCGCCTCCCCTCTCTCCCTTTTTTCTTCAATCTGAGCTAATCCCATGGTACGTTAATCTCCCTCCCTTCATTCTTTTGTACATCAGATTTATCATTCTTTTGTGTTTTAACGAAAACTAAAATCATCGTTGTTTTAGCTTGGAAAGTAACATTTTTGTTCTTTTGATTTGCTTTTCCAGGCCCCAAAGAAGGACAAGGCCCCTCCTCCTTCCTCGAAGCCCGCAAAGTCTGGAGGTGGCAAGCAGAAGAAGAAGGTCATTTTTTTTTTCACTATATGTTTCTTTTATGTATTTAATGCTGTTGATTATCTACTTTTTGGACTTAGATAAGAAGTGGGTTTCCGTTTTTTTTTCTGGGTAAATAGAAGTGGAGCAAAGGAAAGCAAAAGGAGAAGGTTAACAACATGGTGCTGTTTGACCAGGCTACCTATGACAAGCTTCTCTCCGAAGCTCCTAAGTACAAGCTCATTACTCCCTCTATTCTCTCCGATCGTTTAAGGGTACTTTTCTTTTGTACCTCTTCCTAGATTAAATCATTTGTTTTGGTTATGTATTTTCCTTTTATTTGTAAGATTGTTTTGCTGGATGTTGATTGCCTTGCTCTGGCATTTTGTGAGGCTAGACTTTAGTTTGATGTTTGTTGTCTGGAGTTGGAGATCTAAGTTGTTTGTTTGGTTTTATGTCTTGTTGTGGTACCCCGCTCATTGTCTTAGGAAATTAAGTTATAACCGAATAATCTGTTGGGGCTTTTGGTGTTGAATTACTGCTATGTAGTTACTGATCGCTACATGGCTAGATGAATTTAGGTACCCGAGTATGAAGCTAAATGATGGGATTTCTTCAGGGAATTATCTTGCTGCTTGGTTGTTCTATAGTGAATGGCTTGCAAAAGCTGATAGACATAGAATGGTATCATAAGCGCAGCTAAAAGCATTGAGTGGCAATATGAAGTACCTTTGTCATGAACTCATGTTTTCTGATTAATGTATGTAGATGATGTGTAAAACATACTTTCATGGAAAGTGTATGTTTCTCTAAGGTTTTCCTCATTCATCACGTGTGGTATTGAGTAAGGATGTTGGTCCTGAGTCAGGTTGCTGTTCTTTTATATGTCTGCTTATAGATGCATGCGGGAACTCCATTAAATGAAAACTGTATTTTGTTTATATGTCTAATATGGTTGTGTGTGCACCTCACAGATCAACGGATCACTTGCAAGGAAGGCTATAAGGGAATTGATGGCAAGGGGTTTGATTAGGCTGGTGTCTGCCCATGCAAGCCAGCAGATTTACACTAGGGCAACAAACACCTAGATTGTTTGTTATAATTTTGCTTTATTAGTTCTATGTAGTATTGCCTTTTGCTGAGTTTGACGTTTACAAATTATATTTTTTTTTTCAGTTAAGACATCTCTTCAGCCACTTTTTTCTAGAATGTGTGAGCTACAGTCTCTTGTTATTGTTCTGGTTTAATGGATACGTCTCAGACTTAGTTGGCATGTTTTTGGTTGTTCAGCGTTTCTATAATTTGTGGCTATCATGAGATTGGATGGTTGTTTAGTGTTTTTAATCTTAAATGGCATGTTCCATATTCATTTTTGTATTTTTGTTTTATGGATATTTGGAGGGCAAATTTGAGGCCAATGAAACGGCAAGTTTTGGCCTTTTCTGGCTGGAGATGCCATTTAGTTGTAGGTAATTGTGGGACTTTTGAGGAAATGCGACTGTAGAATCTATGAGAAGCATTATTAGGATGATATTGTTCGAAAGATTTTGGATGGGTAAGAAGATTCAGAACCAATAAGGATTCCTTTGGAAGTTTTAATATCATGTGTTCAGAAGACATTCGATTAGGATCCATTTCAGCAAAGTTTAAGTTGTATTCAAGCCTTCCATGCTTTTACCAGGGTCCTTAGCAATTTATTACTGAATAGCTTCAGTGTGTAAGAATGGATTCAGGGGTCTTCTTAAGGTGTCTGTGTCTGCCGCGGACCTCATATTGATTCTGAGAAGTGATAGGAGTGTAGGTGTTCTTGTAGTGGACTACTCATTGTTAAGATCCATTACCTGGCTGTGTTATGAGTTGCTACACATACCTTAGTTTTCCTCGTAGGCCAAGGCGTCTTACCCGGAAATCGAATTCTGAAATGGAAAGCGAGCCAGCTTCTGCTGGTTTCAAGACTTTGGCGAGTCCATGACCTATTAAAATTAACAGGACATTTCCTGCATGCAGAGGGTAATGTACCTGCTGGCGGGATACTGGTCAGGTGTGAAGGATCACAAACAAGGTAAAGCCTGCATGAAGTGGGTTGGTGATAGAACCCAAATGGGGTGTCCAAAAATCAAAATCCACTTTACAAGGTCCAGAGTTCATGACCACTTTTCAGAAAATGGGCCTGCATTGTTAGGGGAAAGGGGCTTTTCTCTTTTTTGGTAAAGTTTCTGGATCAATATCTACCATTGGGTTCTCGGCTCGCTGGCGGGCACATCTGTATCCTCCTCAAGAGAGCAGACCAGTTTAGTTGAACAGTTCAAAGCTCACACTACAGCTTTGGAGTAATTATTACCATATCTGACGGCAAAGCTGTGCATAACACGTATATATTATACAAAACTTACTGGTGCCGATGGTCAGGAATGCTGACCGCAATGGCCCGACCATAGGTCTTTTCCCAGCACACTGAAGACATGAAGCCTAACTATGTTTTTTAATTTTTCAAAGTCTCTCTCCCCTTTTCTGTTCCTGCCTCTTAATAATAATGCAAACTAGCTTGAGGCCTTTCAAATTAAGGCTTTTGAAGAAGATGAAAATATGGAAACAGGATCATCGTCAAAAGAGTCAAGAATCCAAAACAAGTTTCTCTCCTGTAGGCTCTCAGCAACTTGCCATTGGCATTTGTGGCTCATAGAAAGAGAGAGAGAGAGTAGCTCTTGTATTGATATATATCAAGAAGCTAGACTTTGCACCCTTGATTTTGCCAGCATCCCACGTGAAACTTTGTCACATAATACAATCTTGTTTTTCATTTTAGTTCTTGTTTTACATTTCTGGGCTTCGGGCGCTTCTCCTTATCAGTTCCTCCTGGAGGGGTCCAATGTTCCTCAACTTTTACGGGCCAATGCCTATTTCCCATCATCTTGCTACTTCTGCAGGGGACCCCACTTCCATCCCCACTTAAGGCAACTAGAAACAGTCAAGTGGAGGTTACCAATTAATTAACGGTTCTAGTTTTTCAATTGCGCCAATATCCAATTTCGTACGACTACCTGCCATTATTTAATAGGCACGTGTACGGTCAAGAGAACCGTTCCCTAGTTAATTATCAAATGGAAAGGCCCGTCCACAATCAAGGGTCGAAGTACCCGTCAAGTTCGCCTTGATGTGCTTTGGATTTTCCTAGATTGTCTTAAGCTCGGCTAATTATATTTGATCAAATCACAAAGTATGATTGGCCCAGCAATCTCTTTCATTATCTTTGTCCAGCAATCATCAACTTCTTCAACAAGGACCCCTTCCCACACCCCACACCCCACACTCCCACTCTAACTATATTCTTATGATGCCTGTGGGCAACTTGTTCTGTATAATATCATCTCTTGATACACAAACTTATTTATCAGAGTGAAACTGTGAACCACATTCCTTGTTAACTGACAGTTCTTCACCTTAGAGAGTAAGACAAAATTAAAGCTGTACTTGGTATAGAAGGATAGAAAGCTAGAGAAGTGAAAAGCTGGTCTATCACATAGAACTGTAGGATATTTATCAAGAGAGGAAAACAAGCAAACGAAGGGGAGAAAACCAAAGGGTAGGGTGAAAAACTGAAACAGGAAAGAAAGATCAACGAAGTTTGCACTTGGGGACCAAAAGAGAAGATTTTGTGTGGAGGAACCCTACAGCTGCAAACCAAGATACGGATTGGTGCGCACATAGGACAAGTCAAGCCACGACATAGCGGGGTGTTTCTGCACCACGAAATGAGAACCGTCCATGCGGGTAGGTGATGTATGGGCCCAAAATCAGGTAGTTTGGTAGTAATATATTCATGACTGAAAAATCTCCTTGTTTGGACATGGCCCCGTAGACCCACGCAGGTCCATCAAATTTTATTATTACTAGTCATAAATGGTCTTGAATCTTCTGATTTTACTGCCAGTAGAAGTATTTTTTATGTGCATGCTGTCATCAGATGTCAATGTTTCAGTGGCCACTGCCAGCATGGAGATTGTCCTGTTTATAATGAAGAGCTTACGCGAATTCTGCGAGGTTTTCTTTGCCTAGGATCATATCATAATGGATGGAAAACTATAATAATAATGAATAGGTCGAATATATGTTCTTCTTTCAAGATATTCTTTGCAGCAATAATGGAATTCTTTTTATTTCTTTTTTTTTTCTTGGTTGGTTATTTTAATTTTGGCCTTTTAGATTGTTGTATCATATCAGTAAAGCATATATGTTCTGCTTGAAATAACTATTCAAAAATTCCAAAGGTGATTGCAAGGGAAATAGTCGAGAACCAAAAGAGAAAATGGTTTTAGGGTAATCAACAAAAGCGAAGACGGTGCTCAAAGAGACAATAATGTTCTTAACAGTTCAAATTGATGAAAACATCAAACTGCAAGCAATGATTGAAAACCTCCAAAATCCTGGAAGCAGATTGGTGAATTCTGCGACAATGCTATGGACAAGTACAGCCAGGAAGCAATTTCTAGCATTGAAAAAGAAACGGAATAGTACATGGTTAATAACAAACAAAATGTACAAATAAACATATCCTCTCTGGGTTTGGATGTTTCTCCATATTTATTATCTTGGTGCATTATCAGAAAGGAAGCAAGGTTTGAGTGAAGACTAAAGACTAGTGGAATGGGAGGCCTAACCAAGAAAAAGAAATTTGAGTGAAGGCGGTTAACTGGTTGCTTAGCTGCATAGGCTCTCAAACCAGTAATCATGGAGCATGGTTATCAGCTTGAAAAGGTAGAGATCCTGACCTGAATTAAGAAGCTCATCTGATTTACTACTCTGAATGTGGACCTCAAATTTGCTTTGCATTTATGACAAAAAACAACAAGGACTCAATCAAATTTCTCTTCCATGTTATAAAACTTCACCTGGTTAGTAAAAGGATTTGCCACCCAATTGTCAGAAATAAATTCTTGCATCAATTATGATATGATCCCTTCAAGAAAGGATGACAGAAAAAACATTAAATTACTATATCTATTGATATTATTCTTTTTTGAAGCCAAAAACCTGAAACATATGCATCTTTCCTATATAGCCAATATATTTATATTGATTCCATCTAAGAATATATTTAACATAACCTCAATTTCATTTTTTGAATTTACCCAGAAAAAAGGTTTTTGAATAACTTTTTACTTATGAGTTTAGACCAAAAAGCCTTCTTTTTATGATTGTTCAGCGCACCAACTGGCTATCATAATCAAGCAGTCATATAAATCTGATTACAAATGGAGACAAATATGTTACTACATAAAAGAAGTATGCAACTTGTATACTGATTAATAAGGAAGATCACAATCACACTTGTGAAGATTACTACGTAAATTATCAGTTAACTAGCAACTGGTCCAAGTGGGGGGCAAATATGTTAATTTCAACAGCCCAATGAGTCCTTCAGGATGCAAACCTAGCCGTGAAAACTTTTTTCATGACCAGCAAATGATCACGATATGAACAGCTGGAGTCTAGAGAGTGGGGAAGAACAAAAATCTAAAATTTTGATCACGTGACACATCTCTTTATTTATTCGTTAATTAATTCTAAACTATATTGGGTTGAAAGTTGAAATGGACAGGTGTTTGGCAATAATGAGTGCCCTTTTGTGTAAGCAGAGACTAGGCAAGAAACTAGAACTGAGAGTGGCATTGAGTGGCATTTTCAGGAGAAACAAGGTCACATTTGTTCATGATACATTTTGTTTGTTGTATCTTATACAGCTATAAATACCAGGTTACAGGATTTCTCGTGAAGGCTCACAAGCCGAAAAAGCGAGCTACAACCGGTTAACCACCACCTTCAACATTCATCACACATTTTCACTTTCCATCTGAATATTGACCTGCATTTCCTTCCTTAACCACTAAAAAGCTCATTAGATTGGCTTCTCTGAATCCAATTCTACAACACTTGGTGTTGTTCTCTCCTTTGATCTTTCTATTTTATTTTATTTTTTTAAAAAAAGGTTCTTTGGCCTCTGGTCATTCAGAATTTTGCTTCTTTGGAAGGTTTGTGATTTGGGTTCTTTAAGTAATCTTAAATACTTTGATCTGATCCGCTTATTTAGCCTCTTTTCAGTAACTCCCTTTTAGGGTTACCTTGATGTTAGTCCTGTGTCATATTCGGTGCTGCAACTTTGAGTATCTGAGAGACTGACGCAACTGTATTTCCCTTTTTTTTTTTTTCCCTCTTATAGCTTTATGTGATCTATACTTAACTTGGTTACTTAGATTAGAGGATCTTCGACGGGGGTTCATTCCTTTAGTGAGTGTCTTACTATTTGATCCATCCTCTGTTTCATCTGGGGGTCATTCGTTACTACCAGCCAGGAATTGTAATGGATTCTTGTTGTGTGGCCTTGAAAGCCAATTCTCATTTGGTGAATGGAAGAAAAGGTGGCTTTGGCAATGGAAATAATGGATTTTGGGGGGAGAGAATAAGAGGGAGTCTTAATAACAGTCTTTGGGATGATCAGCTGGCTAACAGCTTGAGAACAGATAAGAAAGAAAAGAAGATCAAAACTGGTGCTTTCGCTGTTCTCACATCAAATACTCCCAGGGAAGCTGTGGTATGTTAATACTTTTCTGCAATCTGTTGTCCCTAAGATGATCTTGTTTTGCATCTACCATTTTTCTGTGGTCATGACCATTTTCGTAATTTACTTTAAAAAACTGAACTTTTCTTTTTTGGGTAAAGGCTCATTCATTTTCTTTGATTTTGGTTTTAGACCTTACAACCACGTCGAATTGAGAGACGAAGAGTAGACCCAAAAAATGTGGCTTCAATCATATTGGGAGGAGGTGCAGGGACTCATCTCTTTCCACTTACCAAAAGGGCGGCTACACCTGCTGTAAGGACACTAAGCAAATTCTCTAAGCTCAATTTCATGACAGAACAGGCTCTTTTTTCAGTACTATATGCTTGATGCAGATACTTAGCTTAAGTTAGATTCTCTTGTTACATTGAATCTAGATCATGTTGGAACCACTTTTGACTGTTCAGGATGGTTTTATCTGAATATGATCTGTAGGTTCCAGTTGGAGGATGCTATAAGCTGATAGACATTCCAATGAGCAACTGTATAAATAGTGGGATAAACAAGATTTTTGTTTTGACCCAGTTCAACTCAGCTTCCCTGAACCGGCACCTTGCACGCACGTACTATGGCAATGGTATCAATTTTGGGGATGGTTTTGTGGAGGTATGAATTCCTTAAGGTCAATAAAGATTAATTTGTAACTTTCTGCTGATTTAGAAGGTAGAGTAAGATGGCTAGGGGCTGATTTTGTATCAAGAGATGGAAAAAAAATTTCCTAATTATATTTCCTGTTGTATATTGATAATCAATCAAGAAATAAAGAATAATTGTGATGTTTTCCAGAAAATAGAAAGAAAGCCCCATCTTCTTTGTCAGTTTAATTAGTGCAAAACTCAAGTTGAGCTTTTGCTAAGGAATTCTTGTATCCAATCATATATGAATCTGTAGTAATTCTATTGAGGATTCCTCCATTATTACATCACTTGAACAAAACTCATTTGGTCAACAGGTTCTGGCAGCAACTCAAACATCAGGAGAGGCAGGGAAGAAGTGGTTTCAAGGAACTGCAGATGCTGTTAGGCAATTTATATGGGTATTTGAGGTAGAAACTGAAAGTTTTATTTCCCTTTCTCACATCATCTCAAACTGGCACTGATAACAGTGGTTGGGAATTCATGTAGTTCACATTCATTTTCAACCTAAATTAAAATATGATAAATCCAATTTATTCCTGTAGGATGCAAAGAATAGGAACATTGAGTATATACTGATCCTGTGTGGGGATCACCTCTACCGAATGGATTATATGGAATTTCTACAGGTATTGAATACTTTTACTTGATTGCACTAATATTCTTTTGGCATTGCTAGAAGCTTGGCTAACTTATTTGCAATGCATAACAGCGTCATGTTGACAGTAATGCGGATATTACAATTTCATGTCTGACGGTGGACAACAGGTCTTTTAATCTACTCTGTTGATTTAATTTTGTGTCTGTGTTTCTACATTATAATTTTCTATCAACAAATCTTAAACTTCATCTAAAATGATGAACATGGATAATTGATTGCTTTCCAGCCGTGCATCTGATTATGGACTGGTGAAGATTGATGGCAGGGGCCGTATTGTCCAGTTTGCTGAAAAACCAAAGGGTGCTGATTTGAAAGCAATGGTAAGCACTAAGATGATGTTCTTAGTCCAGCTGTCCTGTTAGTTTCCCTTTTTCCTATGTATTTCTGAAATTCAGCATTCTGAGGGAACAAAAATATTTAACATTCTTAATTAAAATATACCATATGCTGCAACTTTGAAGGAAAGTTTTGGCTGCTTCCTATATAGCTGCATGTATCTTATTAAATATTTGTCTATCACTGGATCACTTTGTGTGTGTCTTACTGAAAGGCTATTCGACATCTTATCAGGAAAGAAAGTAATGACGTTTACTTTCTGCAGATAATCTAAACTGCACAGAATAGTTTTATCCAACTCTCAGCTATTTAACTTTTAAATTTTGTTAAAACATGTTATTACAGTAAGACACTGTTTTAACTAATTAAAATTATCTCTACCACTTTTTCTTTTTATGATTTTCCACAGCAAACAGATACCACTCTTTTAGGGCTGTCTCCCCAAGAAGCCATGAGATCCCCTTACATTGCGTCAATGGGAGTCTATGTATTTAAGACAGATGTTCTATTGAAGCTTCTGAGATGGAGATTTCCTACATCCAATGACTTCGGATCTGAAATCATTCCTGCTGCAGTGATGGAGCATGATGTCCAGGTAAGAGCTATGAAAATGGAACTTCCATTTTCTTAAGATATTACTTATCATTTCTAACACAAGGGTTGCGTTTATTTGTCATGGGGCTTCAAACCCAGCACCTACTGCTGCCAGCAAAGAAACATGCCCTTCCACATTGCATTCTGGGATCTTTAAGACTATAAATTTGAGCCATCATGTTATTCATATTCTTCATAGTTTCTGTATGTCAAAAGCATCTGATTTCTAAATGTAGATTGAATAAAAGATGCACTACATTCTGACGTTTTCTTGTATCTACAGGCATATATTTTCAGAGACTACTGGGAAGATATTGGAACGATAAAGTCATTTTATGATGCCAATTTAGCCCTCACTGAAGAGGTTGGTTTTAATTATCGAACTTTCGGGTTTTGAATTTCTATCCTTTGGTCATTAAATCATGTGTTCGTTGAATTTGTTTCTATTTTTTAATAAAAAAACTGTGCACTATTTGCTAGCATTCTCCACAAAATGAGATAGACTAACGGTGGGTTCATACTACTCAAGGAAAAATTAAAGCTATTATATTGTCATTTATTTAGTGAATGGCATTCTTATAGGCACCTTCTTGTGGCATCCTTTATATAGCTCATTGTAATGTCAGATGTTCCTTTTGTATGTGAAAACATGATTTTATGCTCCTTCTTGAAATAAGATTTAATGTCTATAAATTGTCTCCTATATGCAGCTTCCAAAGTTTGAGTTTTATGACCCAAAGACACCTTTCTATACATCTCCACGATACTTACCACCAACCAAAATTGATAAATGCCGGGTATGATTGTTTACTTTGGATTAATGTGACACTTTATGTTCTTCCTTCTCATATTTCGGTCTGTTTTTGCAGATTAAAGATGCAATAATCTCACACGGATGCTTCTTGCGAGAATGTAGTGTCCAACACTCAATAGTAGGTGAACGCTCACGTTTGGATTATGGCGTTGAGCTTCAGGTGAATTTTACAGGTTTCCCAAATTCTTCTTTACGGAACAATTAAAAACCATTTTATAGCAAACCAATTCCCTCTGACGTTATAATTTAACCAGACAAGTTCACTTCTTCTTGTCTACAGGATACAGTAATGTTGGGAGCAGACTATTACCAAACTGAATCTGAAATTGCATCTCTACTAGCAGAGGGCAAGGTCCCAATTGGGATTGGACGCAATACCAAAATCAGGTAACTTAACACAAAGAACAAATTTAGAGAGTCAAACGAAAATCAGAATCTTGTGTTCTGAAAATGTCTGTCATTTGCTTTGTAGGACGTGCATAATCGACAAGAATGCTAAGATAGGAAAAGATGTGGTCATTGTCAACAAAGATGTAAGTATGCTATCCCTGCTCATTCATACCTTTTTCCTCCACCTTAAAACGTTGCCACACTCGTTAAGGCATCCACAAACTGCTGTTCTTTTGTAGGACGTTCAAGAAGCTGATAGGCCAGAAGAAGGATTTTATATCCGGTCAGGGATCACCATCATACAAGAGAAGGCAACAATAGAAGATGGTACAGTTATCTAAATGGATCCTGATACTTCCACGGACAGCTCATAGATTGGAATTGAAGGTGCACAACAGAAAGCAGTCATGACAGTCTGCTGGAAGACGGTGTGACGATGGCTTTTTGCAGCATTTTGCCACAGAAAAACAAGCTGCATTTCTATCAATTACTTTTGTGTAAATTTGAAGTTCTTTTCTGTAATGTAAAATAGATCTCAGATTTCTATATAAGTTCCCCAAATAAATCAGATGGCTTAGCGGCCCGCTGTTTCTTTCAATTGGTAGAGTAAAATCGTCTGAGAGACAATAAGCCTGATGCTTGTATATACCGCTTTGATGTTCATATATAATGGTAAGTACCAAACTCAGTGAGATAATGGGTCAGCTTTGATCCTAACCTCAACCCTTTTAGGCCCTTTCTTGTAAGACAATGCATAATCGTATTAAGTATTTGATTCTGTAATTAGCATAATAACGAGCAACTTCGACTCCTCTCAAATAAATAAGAACATAACAAACGCAGGATAATTGAGCTTTCTACCACTGACTCCACGTGGTGGATAACAGTTGACACTCCTGTTTTGTCTCCAGACGTGGCATGGTAACATGTCGACGTTTATTCAAACGCGTGAAACTGAGAGAGAAATAGGAGGAAGGGCTGGGCATGACTGCAACGACAAAGGAAAGGGAACAAGAGAACACAGAATCCAATCATGATGCAAGAAACGGGCAAAGCAGATTTGCGACAACTGGAAGGTGTAATGAGAGGCGACGTTGTGGAGAGGAAAGAGATGGCCACAGCTGTTCACGTTCGAAACAACCCTGGAAAGGATTCTGCTACTGCTCTTCAACTTTTTCTTGATCGTATCCCTATTAGTTCGATCCCTGGCATAAAAAACTCATCTGGTAATTCTTTTTTATGACATAAAAGATATATATCGATGATCGTTCTTTTCCAACGAAATTTCGGATCCAACTTGGATTTCTTCGACGCCAAATGTTGATTGTAGCATAGTATTTTTGACTTTTTCTTTCTCATGATTTCCATTTGCAAGTGGTAGAGGTGAAAACTGGGGATAATGTGAAGGATGCAATTGAGTTGTTGTACACGAAGAATGTGTTCGGTGCTCCCATTGCGCATGTTTTAGACCCTGATACTACAGTAGGCAGGTTTTTTGATCGGTATATTGGTTTTATAGATTTTGCTACCATGGTTCTCTGGTCCCTCGAGGTGATATGATTTCTCACATTGTCACCACTCACCAACTTGCACCCTCTTTTTTCTCTCTCACTCAATGTATCCAAATGCATTTTTCCTGTTATGGCCTTCTCAGATATCTGAACAAGCTGGTGTCCCAACTGATGGCGGCGCTAGTGAGGAGACTGGCAAAAGTAGCGTCATGTCCTGGCTTGAACAGAATCCTGACATTGGACATACAAAGGTCTTTTTGCCTTATTTCTTGCTGTTAATTCCTGTTTATTTGGAATTGCCGAATTGCTTTCAGGGACATCATCAGTATTTTCCCACTAAATCATATCCTTTAACGGGAAATGTCTTTTGTTCCATGTGAGACACAGGTAGGAGAGTTGGCAAAATCCTTCCTATGGAATCCGTTTTTCCCTATACGCTTAGAGGATACCCTCTTTCATGTTCTGCTGCTGCTTGCAAAGCACCGGGTGCAAGTTCTACCAGCCATGGAGCAATCTGGTCTTCGGGCCATTGGTTTTGTTACGCAGGTATTTTAAGGCTACCAACTAAGCTTGCTGAACTAATTGGGTAATAGGAAAAGCCAAGAGACAGATTGTTCATTACTTTGGTAGATAAAGGCAACCAGTCGAGTATAGCAAATGTACCTTGTTAAAAGATATGGTAAAATATCTATACACTCTCAAATTTTGATCAAAATGATAAAGTTAATTTAAAAAATAAATATTTATCTCAAAAGAGTATTTATTGTTGGACATATAAATCCAACCGATAATCAAAATTTAAAGTTTTCCTTGGTTTATTGACATGACAATATTTTTTGGATAATTTTGTTTTAGAACATGTCAAAAAGTATAATAGTGTATAAAATTTTATTTTTATTTTTAATTTTTTTTTAAAAAAAATTACTTTTTTGTTTTAGTCAAATTCGACTTAATTTAATGCAAAACTCTCTTTTGAGGGAGCGTGATCTGGAGCTTATCTTACGCTCCAAGATGTAGAGAAGTGCCAAATTTGAGCACAAGATAGTTAGTTGATGTAAAAGAGCATTATCAATCGATCAAATTGTTTGAAAAAAAAAACATTTAGAGAAAGAGAAAAGATTATTTTAATTTTTTCATTTTTTTCCGTTAATGATGTTAAAGGTTTTTAAAGTAAAGTGTTTATATTTCAAATTAATTGACAATTGTGTAATTTTGATAATTTGAAAATATTTAATTATTTTACTTAAAAATTATAACATTTTTTATCAATGCATGTCTGAATTTGGAACTTGGTGCCTTTCTGGTAGAATGCAGTTATCCAATTGCTTCTTCAATCTGATGGACTAGCATGGTTCGACAGCATTGCAGAAAAGTCCCTATCTGAATTTTGGTAGGGCAAACTTGAAAGATACTTCAGAACACATGCGTCATTTCTGAGGAATCATTACTTGGTTGCTTTATCACACCCATCTTGGCTTTCTGCATTCGTATTCAGGTTTGAAAATGAGGAGAAAGTAAGCTGCGTGTATGGCGATGAGAGCATAGCAAGGGCTCTTCACATCTTGTTCAAAAGTCAAATAGGTGCAATTGCGGTCATAGATAGACAGACTCAAAGGCTTGTCGGTAGTGTCAGGAGCAGTGATGTCTATCTTCTTATGGAGAATGACAATCTCTTCCACAATAGAAAGTGAGTAATTTTTCCTTCCAATGCTACACTGCATTTTCTTGCCCAATTGACCTATAAAAACTGCATATTTGAGTTAATAACAGGGTTGTAACCGTGGAGGAATTCATTCATATGGAGACTAGCAATCCAGACTCTGATCCTACTATCGAACGAGAAATAGGGGCTCATTTATCAGCAGGGGTTCTTCATCTACGAAACACCTTCCTTCCAAGAATGGACTCGCCAGTCATCAACAAGAAATCTGACACTCTCAAGCAAGCCATGAAGAACGTAGCAGAGACTATAAGCAATTGCAGTTTTCTAGTTGATGAGTTGCAGCGTCCAGTGGGTGTCCTCACATTGAGAGACATAATCCTTCAGTTTGCCCCGCCCTCTGTGGACTCCAATATTCATGGAGCTGGTTTCTTTGAATCTGCTCTTGAACAGACTGGTTGTCAGGTCAAAGATGGAACCATAGTTTGTGACCATTAATGAGAATTTATAAGATGAAAAGAGGGGTTGAAGTGGGTTTGGTTTTCAAATGATGAGAAAAATATCTATATATTTGTACATGACCTCAACTTCATCTGGCCCCTAAAACCGTGCCGATCTGCGTCAGGATATTCAGGCCTTGATGGAAGACTGGCTGACGAGTGACGTGTATAACTTTTGCTACTTAATCTTTGCTCTTTTCATCCAGAAAGAGAAAGCAGCAAACAATGGATGGAGAAGAAAGAATTGCAGTCAATTGCAGCAAGCACCTCATTTCTACTACTCAGTTGGGTCCGAAGAAAATAAAATGATAATCTGTTTTGCTTGCAGTTTGTAACTCTTAGCTGGAAAACAGATCAACATGTACGGTACAAGAAAAGTTCAACATTCCCTTCACCAACAGCCAGGTATAAGCCACTGATAAATACCCCAGGCTTCCTCTTCAACACGCTCAGCTTAATCAAAATCGTCAGGGGAAGATCTTAGCATACAAGTTGTCGCACTTTGGAGAAAAACCCTTGGGATGTTGGAGGACCCGACAGTGACTCCTCGACAATATGTTGGGAGGAATAGTGCATTACGGTTGAAAATAGGATTGAAATGGAGAGAATAAGCTCTCTCAAGTTGGACCAACCTCCAGTTACAGCCCGCAGAAATAAAAGAGAAAAACATATCCAGATGTTATGAGTTGCCATCAGGATTGAAGTTTATGCGTTGTGACCAAAGCAGTAATCACATTGTTCCTAGACTAACAGTAAATTAAACGAGCTCAATCCACTTAAAATGCAAACTTAATAACAACCTACCTGTCTTTCACTCGTCTCTAAACACACTGATAATGTCTTAATTAGCGACATCATAACCATAACAAACACATATCGGGTTCATTATTACAGAATGTTACTCGAATATGTTTATGATGTATCACGGCCTGTTTTAAACTTACATTCTTTTGAGTCCATTCATTGTTTACTTCAAGCAATTTTAGAGGACCAAACCAGGAAATATAATGGAGAGTTCTTCAAACTTACAAGACGATGTGATGGCTGTTGAGATCCCGTTTTTATCCTCCATCCAAGCGCTCATTCAAGACAAAAGCCCTCTGTTTGATCCTTCCATAAGTAACCCGTCCAGATAAACTTTTCGTTTGATGTATAAAGGTCACATAAAACAAACGCAGGCAGGGAACATACCTAAGCAACATTCTGACTTCACAAAACAGCATATCATATCCTGCCAAAGACCTGATTGATATGTAATATGGATGGGCAGAGCATTTTGTCCCCTTAGTAACAAATTGCACCCACCAAGAGAATTTCATCACCTAATAGGTCACTTTGTCTTTCCCAACATGAATAGCTTTAGCTAGAAATACCTCAAAATCCCTCACGAGCTCCAAACTATCAAAGACCCCCTTCTTCTAAATTCACAAGGACGAAAAACGCTCACGGCCTTCCCCATTAGAGCCATAGCTGCAATGCTTGGAAACTGCTTCTTTTCGAGTTCATCCAATGCAGCCTTTGTACTCTGTGGTTCACATAGCACCACAGCTTCAGGCTTCTTGTTTGGAGACGCAGCCCTGTGACGACACCATCTTTGAATCCAAGAACGTGAAAGAGGTCTATCTTGACTTTTCCTCAAAGAGTCACTGGAAGTGGAGGCACCGATCTTTAATAGCATTGCAGTGTGATCAAGTGCCAGTTCTGGTCTCACATGGCTTCCGCATACTGTGGCTTCTGAACTAGTTTCACTGCATTTCAAGATTTTGTTGAAGATCTTGTTAACCTTTTCACGGGATGAAGCTTCTCCAATTTTAGAGCTCTTAGGACCAGGAGCAAAAGGATCCGAAGTGCTCAACTTCAGACGTTTAACCCATCTGCTGCTTGTCTCTGGTCCCAGAGAATCATCTGGACAAGCAGCAGTTTTAAAATTTGAGGGCTGCTCAGCATGGGAAAGGAGATGCTCTGCATCTAAACTCTGGGTTCTGGAGGTACTTGTTTCTCCATCGTCTATTGACTTTGCCACAGCTGGAAGTGCAGGAAGCCCTCCATTCATATCAGGTAATTCAGTATTTGCCATTTTGTCGCCAGCTTCTTCTCCAGTAGCATTCTCAGTTTCAAATAATGATGAATTATGAACCTCCTTGATGTTCTGCAAAATTATCAAGAAACTTAACTAGTTATGTCTAAATTTAACAGCTCAATTGCGCAATGTGGACTCTTGGTATAGAAAGAGATAGTATTCTGGCATGCTATGCTCACTAGAATTCCATGATGCTTGGAACCAATGACTGGATGATACAGCAATCTGTTAACTTAGAATGTAACAATTTTCTACTAGAAATGGCTCTCAAGGTAATTTTTTATGTTTATTATGCACCCAAATTACTTTGATGAGGACCAATGAACACATTTAACCTCACCTACCAATTCCTTATTTCTGTTAGTAGATAATTTTTTTTTTTTTTGAAAATCTTCTGTTAATTGATAATGAACCAAACTAAAAGATAGTCCTTGCGAAAAGATGCAAAATATAGAATGTCAAGAACATGTTGTTCATAAACACTTTGGTCTATAAACCAAGCAAGTAATCATCTAAAAACTACCATTACAAGCACATAGTAAAATAGATATTAACAAGAATTACCTGATCTGATGGACACAGAGCCACACCTGCAACATAAAGTAAACATGTTAAGAGTATGAACATACAATACTGAAAGACCAAGCAATTATTAAATTAACTGAATCCACAGATATTTCTAATCATAAGTTTCTGTCAGTCTGATGTGACCATTTTCTTCAAAAAAATAATAATATAAGTTCCATTCACTGTTCATAATTATAGAGGTAACATAAATACATACTTGAAAGATGGCTCTTCAGGAAAACATCCAGTTCCATGGCATCAGTTTCAACTGATGATTCATGCTTTAAGCAAACAGTAGAAGTTCTGACATCTCCAACATAGTCTTTTCCTTCACTACCCGTGGAGCTCCCTAGAGGTTGCAATTTCACTCCTTGCCGACCATGGAAACCAAAATTGGGAGATAAACTCAGAAACTCACTGAACATATTTCCCTTCAATTTGGGGGAGACTATAGAGTCTTTGAACACTTGTCCTCCATCGTTTATGCTCACACCAGTCTTCTTTGTAATAAAAAATTTGTGAGTTGTCTGAGAAAACTTGGAAGGACCTCTGGGTAATTCTTCCACAGAATCTATAGTGGTACATATTCTCATAGTCTTGACATCATGAACAGAACGAGGTACTCTTGGCAGCAAGAAATTTTCATCATATGCTTTTCCTGATTTTGCCACCTCAGGATAGTCCAAGCTTGGAAGCAATCTATTACTAGAATTGTTTTCTACCTTCTGACTCTGTTTATTAAGAAAAGAGCATAACTGACTATCGTTGGTCAATTGATCATGAAGTAATAGAGGTGCATCACTCTGTCTAGATAATGAACTCCCCAGTTTTCTGGACTCGAAAAGGGTATCAGCTTTCTTCTCATGGACCCAAAAGGTAGAATAGCTGCTAAATTTACCATCTGTGAAGTGCTCTTTGGATGCTACGACAGGACTTAATTGATCAATATCTTCATGCTGACATGTGAAGGATTGCATTGGAGCCACTCCACTATTCATTACATATGGTACAAATTTAGAACTTGACCCAATATCATCCTGAAAAGATGTTGAAACAGCTAAGTTGTTCTTTTCAAGGAATTCATGAGATTTTACCAGCTGCTCAGGAACCCATGAAATGCCTTCAGGCTGAAGTTTACGTTCTCTAGATGGAAATTCCATTCCAGGATGAGCCCACTCACTTCTACCCATAGTAATAGAGTTATAGCCATTATTGAGATCAATTTGATACTTCACCACGTCACCTTTAGACGAAGTACCTGCGTTATTCTTTGAAGCCATAGCACTCTCCCTTTTCCCTGAAATATTGAACATTGGAGGGGGCTGTCCATCTAAAACTTCTTTCCCCAACTTCCTTGAACCCATTTTCGAACTCTTGCTCATGGTGTCAACTGTTCTGGCTTCAGAAACTTCTCTAAATCCTTGAGCATAGTCTGAAATATCGGTTTCCATTTCAGGCCCAGAAAGCAAAGGATGATGCTGAGAATTGCTAAGATCATCTTTACGCAGTAAATGACTTTGAACCTCAGTGGATGATTTACGACTTGTATTCTTCCAATGATCCATCCAAGCATCTTGGTAATGATGCATAGAATGCCTAGCTGTTCCAGCACTATGGTGTTCTGATTGTGCAACACGATTAGACATGATATGGTCAAATCCTATTTTAATTAAAGGCTCATTGTACCTTACCTGAAAATGCAATTCAACAAGCACTATTAGACATAATATCTATTACGTTTTAAAACAAAATTACAAGAAGTTAGAAATAAAAAACAATCAAAATCAACAAATAGAAAAAATCTAGAGCTCATAAGGTCAGCATAAAGAGTCTATAGGAAATTAAGGATCTACAAAACATATGCTTAACCAATTATTTTGGACCCACATAAGCACACATCAAACAGTCCTTCCTTGATGGACTAAGATTGGTTAGTATTTTGAAACATTAGCTCAAGATGATTTGATTTCTGAAGGTTTAGCATTGGTAGTGCCCCTGTTCTTGATAGATACTCTTAGCGAGCCAGCAATAAAAAATAAAAGGGGGGAGAGCACAGAAAGAGGCAAAAAATGTTCCCAATTCCTATAATCAGCTTTCCATACCAAACAAAATCAAAGAAAAAAAAATAACAAACGCAGAATATTTTAAACAAGAGTTGCCAATTATCCAGAAAGGAAATTTGTAAGGGCAAATTAAAACATCTTTCTTCATCTCATCTCAACACAATTAAAAATCCAACATTATCTAAAATATTTATAGGGAAAAAAAAAACAGCTTCTTCTTACTGCAACTTCTCTTTACAGAAATGTGTGATTACCCAATTCATGTCCCGTCAAACAGGGATCTACAGAAGTCTGAATTAGAAACCTTAAAGTTGAAACAATCCAAGACCCTTTTAGATAGCACCAAACCCTTTTTTTTTTTTTAATTTTAGTTACATCATATATAAGCTCAACTCTTCAACATAATGAACAAGAAAATATCACAAAAACGACCCCCTACCAAGCTTTTCTTTTCTTTTTACCACTACCAATAAAAATAAAACAAACTCTACTGTTCAGTAAGCAACGTTAGAATCTTGAACTATTCAAACAGAGAGCGAAGGAAAAAAAAAAGAATATGAACTTGAAACGAAAGAACTAACACAAGTAACCAAGCTCCAAGCTACGATCAAACAACAGTAGAACAAGCTGAAAGTTCACATCCATACATACTAAGCAAGTATTAGAGAAAGCAAGAAATGGATAGTTCACAAAAACACAATCAAAATTAATTTCAACCACGCCAGGACTCACCTTAAGAGCGAAAGTAAATAAAAAAAAAAAAAACCAGAGTTCGTAAAGTCTATGAAGACCCAGCAAAAGAGCAACGGTGAAACACAGGTCCAGGGAGAAGTTGAGATCACAAACGCAGGAAAAAAAGAGAGTGTGTTTGTTTAAAAAGTAAAGGATGAGAATTTGTGGACAGGCAGGGATGTCTTGGGTGAAGGAAGAAACAGCGAAAGGATGGAAGAAGGAAAAGAAAGCATCTTAAAAAGCCGAGGAGCCGCATGTAGATCCCCCCGAGCCGACGAAACTCAGCAGCTGAAGGGCCCCACTACATTGCACTTTTGTAATTGGTCCTGCCCTTTTCTAATTTTTTTATTTGTTTTTTTTTTCACTTTATTGAACTTTTTATGTTTTTCTTATTTTATTTTATGCTGTTATGTGCGTGGTTATTGTAGTCCTAAACACAAAACATTGCTTGGCCCAATTAATAAAAATAAAAAATGAATTTTTTTTTATGGAAAGTAACAAAATTTAGCATTTTGTAGAATATGTTGAGTTCTTTTTTCCTATTAATCCTGCCCTCGGTAAAAGAAGTAAATTTTATTTTTGAATAATATTCGATGTGATAATGTTAAACATAATACTTTTAAAAAGTTTTTTAATTATTTAAAATATTTAACTAAATATTATATTTTATTACATATAATCAAAATTTTTTTTTATTTTAAATTAAAATATTTTAATTAAAATATTATTTATTATTTTATTATAATTACATGATATTAATATGTATAAAAATATATTATATTACATAATAACATGATATAATGTTATTGTCATATGATATTTTGTATTTTTTACTTAATACTATAATATAAAATGATATTTAAAAATTATTATTTACGAGTGAAATATTAATTAAAATAAATATAAAAAAGTTAATAAAAAATTTTAAATAATTTAAAATTTTTTAAAATAATTTAAAATTTTTGAAAATATTATTACTAATGTTAATTATACGAATGTTAGAAACATATTGGCTCACGGGAATTTGGAATTTGGATGGATAAGGTTGAAGCCGTTGGTGCAGTATTAACTTTACCTCAGTAACGGTGTCTACCAGTAGGTTGTCAGATCTTACAAAATATCTTCTTCCCCTCCAAAATATCTTCGTTTTTTGGGAACCAACTTGTTGACTTCTCCTTTTGAAGAAAAAAAAGAAAGAAATACTTTTAAACTCAAGGCATATAAAATTCCAGTAATAAAATAGTGGAGAAAATTTATACTTGTTTCTTGCCTTTGTGCACATTTGGTATGCATATAGGTAAGTCATTCTCTTCTTATTCTTTTTCCATTTTTATTCTTTTCTTTGGTTGGTTTTTGAGGTAATGGTTATTCTCCAAAATTTTAATGGCTATTCATGACTATGGAATAGAGTCAAAAACTAATTGGATAAAAATGTTCCTATTTATTGAAAATAATTACAACTTAAAAATAAAGAAAAAAATTATATTAATAATTAAATAATAAATTATTAATATTTACATTTTTAATGAAAATAAAATTTGAAAGATTAAAAAATGAAAGTACAAATAGATAAAAATACAAAGAAATTGAAATAAAAAATGATATTAATAATTTAATAATAAATTAATAAAATTTTAACTTTTTAATAAAAATAAAATTAATAAAATTAAAAAATATTATTAAATTATAATAATAATTCTTATATGATTTTATTTTACATATCAAATTATATAATGTATTTGAGTATTTAGTTCATTGATTGGTATATTAAATTTTATTTAAAAAATAAAATTTAATTTTTTTTAATTATGAAAAAATATATAGTAAATTATATAATAATATTATATTATATTCCGTTACCCAAATATGTCAGCTGCAACTACAGAAGCTCGTGGCTCGCAAGATCGAACAGAAACGAGAAGACGAGTAAGATGGACAGGCTACTGTGGGTGAGCTCGGCTGGGTGAGAGTTGAGCCGAGGCTATACTGAGCTGGAGATCAGGAGGAAAAAAAGGGCAAAGGAAAAACATGCTTTCATTACAGTACAGCCTTTGGAGTACAGTGAAATGGCCACCCGACATATCCCAACACCAACAACTGAAGATTTGGCTATCCTTTGTCCACGTCATCCTATGACAAATCCACCCATCAGTCATCCCAATCTCTTTCTTAAAAAACGCTAACTGCATGACAGGGTAAATCACAATTTAGATTCATTTCCGACACCATTCTTATCTACAAATCAATCAATCTATTATAGTATTTCCCTACGTTACTTCTTTTCTCCAACTCAGAGCAAACTCAATCCAACAAGACCAGTTGAGCTACTTGCCTTAATAACTTTTATTCTAAATATTTATGTTCTCCTAACTTATAATATATTTATTAAATTATTATACATATATGTATGTATATACATATATATATTTTTAGTAAGTGAAAGTGATAGCCTGGATTTGAATGCTTTAACAGGAACTTAGTTAAGTAACCATGCCAAGTCTCGATTCAAAGTTGAAACCAAAGCCATTGGGTCAGGGGGGGCTTCCGGCCCACTGATTATGCTACCAAGGTGAAAATTTGGATTATCCTTGGAAAAAGCCAGCTCTGGCCCAGGCGGCTCTAACGGCGTTATGTCATTATGAGCTAGCCCATCCACCAAATCTGTCGGGGCCATAGCCGGGATGGTTCTGACATTATGACATTACTCAACAGGTTAATTGTCCAATCCAATCCCATGTCATGGGAAAGAGATAACATTTTGATTTAATATTTATCTAACAAATATTCTTTAAAGGATAAGATTTAATGTTTCAAAATCCCCAATCCATTTTGATTTGCTCACATGTATTAAAAAAGAAAACAAATATTTCTTTAAAAAAGTTTATTTTTATGGCTTGAGTTTTAATTATAAAACTAACTTTAAATCTTCACCAACTGGTGAGACCTGTCAAATATTTTATGAATAAGCAAACAACAAAAAGTTAATTTTATGAACAATCTATCAAATATTTGACAAATGCATCCTTTGATTAAGGATGTCAAAATATGTACCTTATAATCAAACACTTTGGATTATTGAATCTAAGACAATTAAGGTTAGAGTTTCTTATAATCTAGTTCGAGGAGTAAAATCACAATCCATCATGGGTTTGGATAGGATTTGAGTTGTGATTTTAAAATAATTATTATTGAACTGAATTATAAATAATTATTTTTAATATTAAATTTTAATTATATATCATAATTATTTATTTATTAATTAATATATTATTTACTAAAATTCATTAATATTCTTAACATAATTTTAAAATTTAATTTATTTTTGTATGAATTAACTTTAAATTATTAATTTAATTTTCAAATAATTAATCAATAGTGTATAAGAAATTCATACACAAATTCAAATAAAAATTTAAAAAATTAATAAGATATTTATAAAATTCGAATACTTTATCAGATAATAGAATTTATGTTAGAATATTTTAAGACAAATAAAATATCTATTATCTATATCTAATTTTACAAAAAAAAAATTATCAAATAATTAAAAGACTTAAAATTCTCTTTCACCCATTTTTCTTTGACTGTGAATCAGTTCCATTAATTTTTCTAGTCACATCTTGACAATCATCCTAGTCCAAACCAATCCTTTTCAGCTCATATAGAAAACAATAAAAAAAGAAAACAGAAAAACTCTTAACCAGTTGTCAAATTTAATTTATTTAATTAATATAATAATTTACATATTTATTGAAATTGGAAAAGTAAACAAATCTGGACAAAAAATTACCAATACAAAACACCTGGCACAAACCCCGGCATAGAAAAACGAAAAAGCATGTTCTCTTTTCGCAAGCTCCTTTTTATTAACTACTGTTCAAGCCGCGTCACTGTCGGTAAACAAAAAAGTAAACGACCCAATTTGCCCGTCTAACGGTAAAAACTCCTAGTAAAAAAAAGAAAAGGTAAACGAAGTGAAAATAGCTATAAAAATAATAATAATGATAAAAAAAAACCCATCTCCAAATAGATCTGCTTCGGCTTGGTTTTCGCTTCCTCTTATCAGAAAAGGAAGAAGAAAAGTTTCAGAGTCCAAAGCTTAACAACGGAGAGTCCTTCGAGGTCAGCCCTTTTCTACTCTTCTTCGACTCTAAAAAACGTATGCTTTAGATTACCATTTTTTTGACTTTGTATTGGTTGTTATCTCTATTGATCGTAACTTGTCCTTTTTAAGTATTGAATCATTTCTTCATGTTGATAGTAGATTCTTTTATTCAACAATTTTATGTATACGTAAATCTAGGGTTTTGGTTGTTCTGGATCTGGGTTTTCACGCGTAGTTGTTTTTATTGAAGGACGTGCTCGATTTGTATATTGATAGACCCTAGATTCTTGTTTTGTTGGTGATAAAGCTGAGGGGAAGTTTTGGGATCTCATGTTCTTTTGGTATTTTTTTGGTTTTGGTGATGGTAGTCGGTTACTTCTTGCGTTCAGTTGACGGGTTTTTGATTTTATCTCTGTTCCGAGATTCTGGGCATGAAATGTTTATGCATTTTCTTGGTAAACAAACATAGCAATAGGGTTTTCCTTAAATCGGATTCATTGATTGAAAATGGCTAGCTGTTTTGCTTTATCTGTTGTTGCACATGGTCGTACATGGTGATATCTAATGATTTACAGCTATTAGTGCTTAAATTGAATTGAATGTTTACTTTAAATATCAAGTTCACTGAGTGTTGACTTATAACTACGATGTTTTTGGGAACTTAGTGTATTTTTTGTGTTTAAGCTAATTGGGTCTTTCTCATATGGTATAGAATTTGAAGCTAATATTGAATGGAGGGAATTGGAGGTGATGGTGCATCAGTGGCATCACCTTTGCCTCAATGGGGGCATGATGCTTGGAGGATGTATCAGTATTATCTGGATAAGACTACTCCTCATACAGCTTATAGGTGGATTGGAACCCTTGTTGTAGCAGCTCTCTATTGTCTGCGGGTCTATTATGTTCAAGGGTTTTACATAGTTTCATATGGACTTGGGATCTACCTGCTGAATTTGCTAATTGGGTTTTTGTCTCCTCTGGTCGATCCTGAAATTGAAGCTTCTGATGGGCCTTTACTGCCAACAAAAGGTTCAGATGAATTCAAGCCGTTTATTCGTAGGCTACCTGAGTTTAAGTTCTGGTAATTGAAAATTTATCTTTGGTTTCTAATCTTTTATGATGCTTTATGTGTTACAGAAGCAATTTATTGGTGGTGTTTGTTCCTTTTGTGGTCTGTACCAAAATCTTTTATGATATGGTTTATTAAGGGAAACCATCTACTTGAGGTTCATTGACCTATTTAGGCAAAGTCATAAACACTGTCTGATCTTTGAGATATGATAGAAACATGCCCTTTGTTATTTACCAAAAAAAGAAAAGATATGTGGAAACATGTGATGCTTAGTTAAATGGTGTGATCCGGCATATTAACATCAGCTTTCTGGATTCTCTAGAGAAAGTTCAGAAGCTTGTGAGATCTTTTCTGTGTTCTGATCATTTATGAAACTCAGGGAATAGTATGCATGTTTTAAGATTTTAGCTTAAGATAGATTACTTAATGGTGGGTTTGATGATAATAGCTTGTATTTAATTGAAATCAAGGTGTTAGTTATTCTTCTTTTCTGTTTGTACTTCGTAAATCTCTTGATGGAGTTAAAAATAATATAAAAGGTTATAACATGCACAACAAGTGATAATTCTAGTAAGACTGTCTGTAACAACAATCTTGCATTACATGCGTAATTGACATCCAGCAGCCATGTTTTTCTCCTTTAGTTACCTAATTTGGTCTAGGCTGATTTTACATGACCTCAAGTTCACCTGACCGTTGCTTGGTGGCATGTCATATGTCTAGTTTGCACCTAGGCCTAACTTCCTTTCTTCTTACCTTTGTATACCTCAAATGTAAGGTATCATAATGGTTCAGAAATCTAATGTAATGTTTCCGATTGTGGAAATGTAGGACAATATGCTTGAAAGCATTTGCTCTTATCTATCAATTTCATTAGCCATTGCCTTGTCATTGTCAATCACTCGTTCTCATGCGATTCACTGTTTCTTTAGAATGTAGAATCTTTAAATTTTGTTTGTTTTACCCAAGAATTACAGCTCAGAAAAGTATTTCTGTTTATAGCATAGAAATGTGCAACTAATTGTGAGTGGAACTAAGTCATTATTTGCTATAGTCAATCGCACTTCTTCATCCATTGGGAAGTTTCATGTCTTGAGATCTGTATGAATTTGTGCTTAATGAATGGGTATGTAAGTATGGATATAATACTTCTTTTGTTTTATTATTGTTGCAGGTACTCCATGACAAAGGCTTTCTGCATAGCATTTGTCATGACTTTCTTTTCCCTATTTGATGTTCCTGTCTTTTGGCCTATATTGCTTTGTTATTGGATTGTTCTCTTTGTCCTTACAATGAGGCGTCAGATTGCACACATGATCAAATACAAGTATATCCCATTCAACATTGGAAAGCAGGTCAGCTTCCAATGAAAAAATGATTTCTACTTTTACAGTTGCAACTATAACAGCAAGCACCTTTCACTAGTACTTCTAATTATGAGTGGCAGAAGGGAAGTCTCTAATATTTGCATGCTTGAAAGATAATAGTGTTTTCTTCTCTCTTTGACAGAAATACACTGGTAAGAAAGCTTCTGCAAGTAGCAGTGGCTCCCGCGGGGATTGAAGCTTTGGCTGGTTCACAGGGGAAATAGTAAAGGACCTGGTGGAAAAAGGAAAAGTAGGCATTCTGAAGATTCATGATAATTGATTTCACCTTTGGAAGACAGGCATTTGTGTTATTATGGATTTTTTAATATGCAGTTACTACAAACATAAGTTCAGTTGTCCCTGTGAAGAGGTGCTGACGTCGCAGAACTGAAACTTTATTGTTTATACAAATGGTTATGAAGATTTGATCAAAGTTTTTGGGATTATTGGGCAGTAATTTGTACAACAAAATACCGTTCCCTGTTCTCATCTACATTACTTGATTAGTAGTGACAAGACCAAATTTCTTATTAGGAGACATCCCTGGCAGATTGTAGGCGTTTATTTTTCTTTTGTACTTGACGGGTGCAAGAGCAAAACTGCAGTTTTTCCTTAATGCATTGCACAATTGTCCACAATTTCAATTTGGGTCCTGTTTTTCACAACTGGGGTTTCAGGTTCCGTTAACTAAAGTATTTGAAGAGAGAGATAAGGTTATGTTTCTTCAACCTGTAGGTGCCTGGACGTGTACTTCCAAGGGAACTAACCCATTTCATTCCCATCTGATAGCAATAATCACCACCCTTCCTTAATTGTATGTTCATTTTTTTCACTTCCATTAAGAATTAGAGGGAAGAAACTATAAGCATTCTTACACTGTGATTTCTCAGAAAGATGATACTGTATCTGTTCTATAGTATGTACATGCAATAAAAGGCTGTCTAAATAGAAAATTATTCTCACATGTTTTCCCTGTTTTGTTTGTATATTCTAATTGCAAATAAATTGTCACTTACCAAGATCTTAAGAGCTTGGGCCTAATCCGCGGGGAACCCCACTCACCCAGGCCCAAGCCTAAATGGCAAAGACCCAAAGATAAAATGCAAAACCCTAAACCCAGAGAGTCGGTTTGTTTGTTTTCAGATATAACCCCTAAGACCTAACTTCGTATTTCCCCCCTCCTTTCTTCTCCTTGCTCAGATATTATCCCTTCTTATTCGATCCGAGTGAAGAAAGGATATGGGTAAAGTGAAAGGAAAGCATAGGTTAGACAAGTACTACCAACTTGCCAAGGAACACGGCTACCGTTCCAGAGCATCATGGAAGCTAGTCCAACTCGACTCCAAATTCTCCTTTTTAAATTCTGCCCACGCCGTCCTCGACCTCTGCGCCGCCCCCGGTGGTTGGATGCAGGTTGCCGTCCAGAGAGTTCCTGTTGGCAGCCTCGTACTCGGTCTCGACCTTGTTCCCATCGCCCCAATACGAGGTGCCATCGCCCTCCAACAAGACATAACCAAATCCGAATGTAAGTCCAAGATTAAACGGGTCATGGAAGAGCATGGGGCCCCGGCTTTTGATGTGGTTTTGCATGATGGATCCCCTAATGTTGGTGGAGCCTGGGCTCAGGAGGCAATGAGCCAAAATGCTTTGGTTATTGATTCTGTTAAGCTGGCTACTCAGTTCTTGGCTCCCAAGGGCACTTTTGTTACTAAGGTTTTTAGGTCCCAAGACTATAGTTCTGTTCTGTATTGTCTCAAGCAGGTGATTATTTCCTTCATTTTTTAAAGACATGATCATATCTCTGCAAAGTTTTGTTCTTCCTTGATATGTGTATTTGGTTTGCTTCAGTTATTTGAAAAGGTTGAGGTCGATAAACCCGCAGCTAGTCGTTCAGCTTCAGCTGAGATTTATCTTTTGGGCCTGAGGTATAAAGCCCCTGCAAAGATTGATCCACGTCTTCTTGACGTCAAGCATCTATTTCAGGGATCAGTAGAACCACAGAAGAAGGTTTTTATTTTATTTTGGAGTTTCAAAGTCTCTTAAAAGATGACTTCTTCCTTTGATTGAGTCTCTGCTAATTATGTTCTTTCTACCAAATACTTGATGTAGGTGATTGATGTACTTAGGGTAACAAAACAAAAGAGACACCGTGATGGGTAAGCTTTCCCTTTACCCTGCAGCTATGTGAACTAAGTAAAATGAGTTTCTGATAATAAGTCAGATAAACAAATTTACTGCTTGTTAGCAATGACTGAACAAGTTAATAGCATGTACAGAAAATTAGAAATTTTTGTCATCAATGTTTGTGTTTGTGGATATTGTTTCAAGTGGGATCTATGTTATGCTTTGTTGCTGACTAGGTTCAATTTACAGTTATGAAGATGGAGAGACAATCTCAAAGAAGGTGTCTACAGCTGCTGACTTCATTAGGTCTGACTCTCCTCTTGAAATCCTCGGTTCAGTTACTTCCATAACCTTTGGCGATCCAGCTTCATTGCCTATTAAGGATCACAGTTCTACCACAGAAGAGGTAATTATTTTTTTGTATTGTTATTCTTTACCTGGCCTTCAATCTTTCCAGGTTTTGATTACTTATTTTGCTCCTGTCTGGACAGATCAAAGCTCTTTGTGAGGATTTGCGTGTTTTGGGAAAGCAAGATTTCAAGTGCCTTTTGAAGTAAGTAACACAATTCCTTTTACATTTCCCCTTTAGGAAATGTTCAAATCTAAACAACTTGTGAGAATATGAAAATCAGTGAAAGCTAGTTTTAATCAATACACTTGGTCATAATATTTTGAGTTGGAGCTTGATAAGGGAAGAATGCTGGATTTTTGTGCATATATAAATGTATTACATGGCACCGTTCCCTTGATTTGATATTATCATGTTTGTTTTTCATGTAGGTGGCGGTTGCAATTGAGAAAAGCTTTGTCTCCTTCAGAAAAGGCTACTTCTTCTACCCCTGCCACAGATGTTGACAAAGGGGAAGAAGAGAACGAAGATGATAAATTACTCAATGAAATGGAGGAGCTCACATATGCTATGGAACATAAGAAGAAAAGAGCAAAGAAGCTTCTAGCAAAAAGACGAGCTAAGGTTTATTTCCTTGCTCAGATATCTCTGGCCCCTGTATTTATTTCTTAGTGCATTTACCACATAATAGAAACCATGAAATGGAACAAATTTATTGATTTTACCATGGTTTTGTATCTACAGGATAGTAATGATAGTAACTAATGATACATGGTTTTCTTTTCCCTTTATTTTTGGAAAAATTAAGAAATCATTTATAGATTTGGTATTAATGTTTCAGATACCTATTACTGTTGGAAATTTCATGTTCCTTCTTTTCTTTTAAACTGTAGGATGTTGCCATGCATTCATTTAGTTGCTGCTTCTTGCCTCATTGTTTTGCAGGATAAATCACGGAAGGCAACAGGAATGCAAATAGACGCCCTGGAAGATGGTTATATTGATCATGAGTTGTTTTCTCTGTCTTCAATCAAGGTTTGCTTTTGATCAAAAGACTTCAAATTAGGAAACTCAATGTTTCTTCCATAACTAGTTATAAAAGAAAGGAGGCTAGTCTAAACAAACATCTAAAACAAAATTATTGGACTTAAGACTGCAGTTATGTCATTTTAACCAAAGGCATAGTTCGCATTTAACCTTTCCAAGCCCCTTTATTATGGGCTAAACCATGGCATCATCTGATCTTAACTTTATTGTCCATGATGTGCTGTTTTGAACAAGAGGCATGTTTTGCGCTTAACATCTTTTCTTCCAGTTATGTGTTGGCATCTGTCTGTTTGTTAACTGAAGTGTTGCTTGGGCATTCTTTATTGAGCTAGACTATTTGTCATGATAAAATAAAGCTTTTCTTCTATTGTCTGGAAAACCGTAGGATTTTTGAATGAAGTCACCGTTGCTCTTTATATTTCCTTTAAACTGATGTTTATAGTAGTCATTCTATGGTATTTCCTAAAAAATTGACTTAGAAGTTCATTGAAGCTTTTAGCTTTAGCTAAAGTTTATTGATGCTAGTCCATTAATGCCTTTAGGGTAAGAAAGATCTTGCAGCAGTTGATTCCACTGAGTGTGATGATGGGAATAATGACTTAAGGGGTAGCGAAGATGAAGAAACCCAGGACAAAACTGAGGATGAGTCATCCAGTGATATTGATTCTGATGAAGAACGCAGAAGGTTGGTTGCCCTGATTCTTAGTTATAACTGGGGTTTGATTTGAGCAATATATAATTTGTAACATTCTCTGTATGTAAATTAATCTTGTAATTTTGATGCTAGATATGATGAACAAATCGAAGAGATTCTTGATCACGCTTATGAACAGTATGTGGCCAAAAAGGATGGAAGCACAAAGCAGAGGAAGCGTGCAAAAGAAGCCTACTCTGACCAATTGGAGGTATGAAACTCATATAGTGTGTAATTGATAACTCAACATGTTCATCATTATCACAAACTTTAAACTCGCAAGTATAATGTGCAATCTTTTATTTATTTGCCTGACATTAAGTTTTGTCTTTCACATTCTAAAATGATCATGTATGCCATGTTTGTTCAGTGTTTTGAAGGCCTTGTTCTGTGTTTTATTCACAAAATTCCTCACCTTCGCTCTCTCTCTCTCTCTTTTCAATTTCCTCTTCCACCCCCCTTTTTCTTTCATCTGCATGCATAGTCCCCTCCTAGGTTGCTCTATCTAGTACAATTTTTTTCTTCCTCTATGCTTCCTCAATTCATATTCTATTGATATGAATTTTTGTTTTCCCAGTGCTATTATCATTCTTTCTTATTTATGCTGTTAATACAGCATGGATAATGGTTGATTTTAAAAGCTGACCAAATTTTTACTGATTAGATTGAATTTCCCTTCTCGGCTGTGCAGGGTGGTGATGGTGATGATATCATTCTTTCCGATCATGATTCAGACCAGGACGAGGCTGATCCTGAAGCAAATCCTCTCATTGTACCACTGGATGATGGGGAAGGACCAACTCAGGAGGAGATCACAAACAGGTGGTTCGGTCAGGATATTTTTGCTGAAGCTGTAGAGCAGGGAGATTTAGGGAAGTATGACAATGATGATGAAATGGAGGTTGATAACCAAGTGGACAGGCTACCTGTTCCTGGGAAGGCCAAAGAAAAGAAAAGGCAGGATGAAAGACAAATTGCTCACAAGGTCAAGGAAAAGAAAGCAAACAATGCTGCCGGCCTCAATTGTAGTCAACTCCAGGCTCCTAGGGCGGAGGATGATTTTGAGATTGTCCCTGCTCCAGCTACAGATTCAAGTGATGACTCGTCTTCAGATGACTCAGAGGATGAAGATGTTGATACAAAAGCTGAGATATTGGCTTGTGCGAAGAAGATGCTCAGGAAAAAGCAAAGGGGGCAGATTCTTGATGATGCTTATAATAAATATATGTTTGATGATGAAGGTTTACCCAAGTGGTTCTTAGAGGAGGAGAGGAGACACCGCCAACCAATTAAGCCTGTTACGAAAGAAGAGATTGCTGCAATGCGAGCACAATTCAAAGAGATCAATGCTCGACCTGCTAAGAAAGTTGCAGAGGCAAAGGCTAGAAAGAAGCGGGTAGCAATGAAAAAGCTTGACAAGGTTCGACAGAAAGCAAATAGTATATCAGACCAAACTGACATCTCTGATCGGTCAAAGAGGAAGCAAATCGAACAACTATACAAGAAGGCTATGCCCAAAAAGACCCAAAAGGAATATGTGGTTGCGAAGAAGGGCGTTCAAGTCAAGGCTGGCAAAGGGAAAGTCCTTGTCGATCGGCGGATGAAAAAGGATTCGAGGGCACACGGAATGGGTAAATTAGGAAAAGGTGGTTCAAAGAAGGGAAGGAACGGAAAAGTTAGGAAAGGTAAAGGATCTGTCAAGGCTTCAGGGAACAAGGGAAACAGAGGGAAAAAAGGTGTGCACGCATGACTGAACAAGTGAAGTTTTGATAGATACATTTCAGATAAAATTGAAGATGAACACCATATACATTTTTGTTTTATTTTTTAAAATATTTTATCCGTTTTGTTGGGGCTGATTGATAAAATTAAGTACTATGTTTTGAGTATTGATTCAAGGTGTAATTGTAATGAATGAGGAGGATCTGTAGATGTTTTACAGTCCCCAAAATTTTCCTTCTTTCTCTTCTCTGACCAGATTTCTTACATACATATTTATCCGCCACTGGAAGGATATAACCTGTTGACATGCTAAATCTGACTTTCCGACACGAAATTCAGATTGCCAGAACCCATCGGCCTGTTATATTTTACGCGTGAATTCAGTTTTGCTCTTTTCTTCAATCTTTCCTTTCTTCTTTCACATTCCAATTTTAAAACTTTTATCATTTTCTAATCCTTTTTGCTTTCTCCATTGTTTTTACTCTATACCTACACATGGTGGCTTTTTTTGCTTGCTTGTTCGTCAAGTTTTAACATGTTCCTGCTGCTGAAGTTTTGCCTCTTAACAGAAAAAAAGACCAGTTTAAAACTAGGGCAATTCCAGAGAAAGACTGAAGGTAGATGCGAAGGCAATAGATAATTCCTTCACACGCAGTTGATTATTTTCTTAAGTTTGATTCTTAGCAAACTGTAAGTCCAGCACTCACTAACACACATCCTAACTTGGCTACCAACTTACATAGTCTGCCAGCATAGCACAAGCAGAAGGAACACTAGCTACTTTTTTATTCCGACGATGTACGTCAATGCAGGAGGATCAGACAAACTGATCAAGATACTCTTCAACGGTAGTATACTTGACATCCGGGTACAGCTCCGAAGCCTCAACTCCAAATGAAGGTTCAATTTCAAAGTTGGTGTGATCTCCTTTGACGAAAACAGAGTGTCCGATTGACAATACCACATTCAGCGGAAAGGCAGCTTCTGCAGGAAAGGGAAATTATCCAATGCTTAATTAGCCAATTTCGACAAATCTCAAAACCAATTCCTTGGATGGGTTTTGTCCAAATTTTACAAAACGAATTTCTCACTGACCTTGAATGTTTTTCAGCAGTTGTTCTTCTGAAACATAGCTCCTCTCAAGGGTTCTGCCAATCTTCTTTTCCCACAAGGAGACAAGATCATTGAATGAATACGTGTTGAGAGGGGGTCTAATGTAGAGGATTTTGTTCAGGGTTCTGGGATCATCCACAGCTTTGATAGTAAACGTGCCTATATCATCTTCCTTGTTGAAAACAGCTGCAAACCAAAACATGGAGATGTAAAGTATGCTGGGGCTAGACACCTATCATTTGTTGGCAGGCTGCAATTGATCCAATCATTTTGTTTCGCTTACAGAACTTTTGGTGTAGTATTTTCCTCCTTCCCAAAAAGGTTATCAAAAGAGTCACCCAACTTTGCTCTGCCTTTTTCTGGAAAGGCAAAAGAGAGTGATGCTAGGGGATCCAGAGTTCGGTGGGATTTTGTCTGTCATCCTAAAACGTGAAGGTGGTTTGGGGCTAAAGGACATATCTATGTGGAACACATCCTATTCTCTAGCCAATGTGGATGATCCTTTCTCAAGCAGCATCCATATGGGTAGCTTGGGTAAAGGCTTATGATTTTGAGAGCAAAAGATTTCTGGCAAGTACAACCATCTACAAGCAATAGCTAGGCTTGGAGGAAATTGCTCAAGCTTGGATCTTTAGCAAATTCCCTTATGGATGCATTCTCAATGGTGTAAAACAGACTTTGGAGCCTAGATGGCTGGTCTCTAATTCTGGCAAATATAATGATTCTGAGACTTGCAATACCATTCGGCATCACCAACCTAAAGTAGACTGGTACAGGCTTTTCTGGTTCCAAATTAACCTTCCCAAGCATGGTATGATTAGTTGGATGGCTATCCTAGAAAAACTTCCTACCCTGCACAGGTTTTCATCTTGGAATCTTCCAATTACAGATGACATGTTTTATTTCTGTAAACAAGCTGCAGAAGACAGAGATCACTCGTTCTTTTCTTATCCTTTTTCTAACCAGGTTTGGAGTAAAGTGCTGGTTTGTTCTGATATTCATAGATCTGTTGAATTCCATTGCGCTAAGCAGTTGAAAGGGAAGTCTCTTCCTGTGATCATCCTTAAAAATTGCCAGGAAAACTAATGACTACTTTCTCTGGATCGAAAGGAATAATAGGAAATTTGGAAGAAGGCTAATGATGCTGATGAAGTCTTTAACTGTTTAGTTGAATCTGTCAGCTTCAAGTTGCATAATTGCTCCCAACAGATCAAAGCAAGACATGCCCTTCTTTGTCTTAATTAGAGAATTCCTGTTGATACCTTGTAAATAATATTTAAGACAATTATGCTGTACGGTTGTTGTACAGTTTTTTTAGCAGGTTATTTGCCCTGCTTCTTGGATAAATATACTGCCCATTTATCCCAAAACCCTAAAAAAAAAACAGAAAGAAGATGCAAATTATGGGTTTTATCACAATCTTTGCCATAACATTTCCCTGATTGTTAACCCTGGTTTCACAGCCAAGCCCAAACAATGAAATAAAGGAGCTGATTTTTCTGTTAAATAGTTTGATCAACCATGTGCCCTAATTAGCATCTAATCTCCAATTTCGGCTCCACTATCAACGACTTAATAAGCATAGATATTAAACGAAAAATAGAAGCTCACCTTTGGCATTTCCATCCCCTGAAATGATGACTTCATCTCTTGGGGGTGCTGCAGGTTTTGACAAACTGGGAAGGAAATATCCGGCGAAAAAATTCGACGACACGTAGGTGTAGGGTATTCCTTGAGCTTCGACGGCTCGTCGGATTTTAGCCTTGGTAGCAAAGACTGTTTTCGCCGGCTCCACCGCATGCACACGGTCCACGTCATTCCCGAATTCCGAAGGAAAAAATCTCTGCAAAGTACCAAAAAAATAAAGAAACATTGAAGAACGTATATATGAGAATCAATGAAATTATAGTAAACTTTTACCTTAACATTGCCAGCTTCTTTAATGGCAGCGATGATCTTGTCTTGATCAACTAGCTGGGCGTGACCAACTGTGGATATCACCACGTCCACCTGCTTTATCGCCTTTACCAAGCTCTCATGATCGTACAAATCGCCCTGCATGTATAACAAAGAAAACTTCCTTTCATCCTAACGAACCGACATGAAAGATTGAAAGAGAAACGAACAGTTACGCACGTGAAGGAAATTGACTCCTAAGGTTTTGAAAGTGTCGACGGTGTTGGATTTGGCAGGGTTCGAGAGGGTGGCTTCTCTAACCAGAACAAACGTAGGGTGACCGGCTTTTGCACTTGCTTCCACTATGAACTTACCGATGTACCCCGTGCCTCCGATCACCAGAATCTTGCTTTTCTCTGCCATCGGAAAGGTATAATCCGGCAACAACGTGAATGAGAGAAAGACAGAAATGTGAAAAAGACGTTACGAGTATGCTCTCGTCTCAACGGACGAGTGGATATATATATGTAGCTATCTGCACTGAAAAATGAAAAGGCTGGAAGCGCTGCGAGGTGCGCAATTACTCAAATGCCTTCCATGATTTTGCTACATTCCCCAAAATGCGTCTAGATTCGTCCTGTTTTAGGCTTTAATGGGTCTTAATTTGCAGTCACCAGGAAATTGTGGATAGAAGACGCTGTTGCAAATTTGGACCAACGAGGAGTTTAGTCTGAGAGCCACAAAATCCTTTCTTGTTTTGATTCAATTTGAGTTTGTTTACTATACGATAATCTGTCTAGATTCATTCCTGTTCCTTTGAAGGTTTTAGACTGATAGCCTTACTAGTATTATAATTAATATAAATGGTATTTAATTTCATATTCTCAATGTCACGATTTTAAAAGAGAAAAAAATCATAAATCTCATGTCAATTGCATAATAAAATGAAATTAGATATTTAAGTATTCACAACTTTTTGTAAAACAAAATCCTTGAAGATCAATTGTTCATAAAAACAATACTTATGCACTTAATCATATATATAAATTAATTCCAGATACATATCGAAACAAAAATTAATCGAACCCTTTATATATATAAAGATAAGTTTACAAATCTATAACTAATGTTTTTTAAATTTATGAATAAAAGAGGAAAAAAATTAACTATCATCACTTTATTCCTATTTTCTCATTTTCAATAATGAGAGAAACAATTTCATTTGAAATCATTTATCTTCATTTCTTTCACAACACCATTTCTACTCTTGTCCGCTATGAATTCATTCGTTCAAAGTTTCCACAGACTGTTAGGATTTCGCACGAGTGGATTTAGGTGTAAACTTTAGTGTTGCCCACCTATAAACTGAACTAGAATTGTTAGGTAATAGTGATGGGATGGAAGTAAATGACTAGAGAGTTGGGGCACTGAAGAAGGTTCAAGATAAAGATAACTCCCAAGAGTTTTTCCAGCTCTAGTCCCTTTTGATCATAACTCAAAAGGACAGTTTAAACATCTTTGATAATCTCAACCAAATTGATGACAGGTTTTGTTACATAATAGTACCGACAATTTTGCCAGAAATTCCTTGACATTGCCTTTCTTCTTCTCTAGAAATCAAAAGCTCCAACTCTTGTGAATCTATTCACCATATAAAAAGTGTGGCGTACAAGTAATAATTCTCACAGCAAAGTGTCTAAATGCTCGCTGACTGTAGTGTATTTCAAGTGTGGGTACAGTTGTGTACCATCAACTCCAGAAGGGTCGATATTAAAGTATGTATGATCTCCCTTTACAAAGGCAGAATATATGAATATCATCTCCATGTTGTCTGGGTAAGGAGTCTCTGCAAATGCCACAAGCTCCCTAATTTTAGTACATTTTAAAACAAAAAAGAAACAGGAATAAAAGGTTTGGAAAAACACCTACTCCCATGCCTGTTGGTCTGGAAATAATCCAAGTAAATCAAGTAAAGCTTTAACATACAAGCAAGTGAATGCATAATGTGCACTACTATGCAAGAGCCCCACTTTTGGTAATCTTAATTTATTGTATTTCTGCTTAAGTTAGAGCCCTTCATACATCAATTAATCTATCACCTCTAATCCAGAATCACAATGTGACCAAATGCCGAACAGAATGTAAATACGAGCATGTCAAACAGCTATACTTGCATTATTCTGTGGTTAGGCTCTTAGATTGGCTAGTGATACACCAAAGATATTCAATGTAGGGTGATTTCTCCTACTTTCCAGTTTTCAACAACTGTATTACTTTTAAGAACTTAGTTATTCATTATCACAAAAAAGAAAAGAACTGAGTTATTCATGGAATATAAAAGGAATCTTTATTTGCTCCTCTGCAATCTAGATGCTGCTTAGAGTATGCATTAAATAATAACCCAGAGCTACTTCTTCCTAATCAATTTAATCATGTAATTCTCCTGTTTTGCTATAACAAGCAATAGAAGCTAAATAATTTTCAATGCTTTTTCTAAAAGCCTCACTTTTTTCAACATGTTAATAAGTAGTTATTATAAACTTGCTACATAATGATACATTATATATACCTTTGATTTTCTTAAGAACCTCCTCTTCAGGTACATAAATCTTCTCAAGTTTCTTAGCAATTTTATTCTCCCAAATTGCTACCAGCTCATTCATGGAGTATACGTTTCCAGGGGGTCTCAGATACAAAGTCTTATTAAGTGTTCTGGGATCGTCTATGGCACTGATGGTGAAAGCAGCAACATCAATATCCTTCACGAAGACAGCTGCAAGAAAACCACAGCAAAAGCACATAGCTTTTCAGGTCTCCCAATTTCCATAGGAATAATAAACTTATTAATCCTAGCAGATCATCATCAAACCTTTAGCATTTCCATCTCCAAAAATAGTGACCTTGTCCTTTGGGGGAACCTTTAAGCCAGGTTGAGCTAGCCATGGAAGTAAATAACTCATCAAAAGGTTGCAGCAAATGTAAGTATAAGGAATGCCTTCAGCTTCTACAAGACGCCTAACCTCAGCTTTTCGAGAATAGAATTGATGGTCCAGGCCAGATATCTGAATTTTGTCAGGATCTACACCGAATTCGGATGGAATGAATTTCTGTTACCATTGCAATTATTAAGTTCAATTAAAAGTACAGAGTCTCTGTTATCCAAAAAGGTTAACCAAAGGATTGATATTTATTTTCTGTTAGTGGATCCAGGATATTCACAACTTACAATGGCACTATAAAACCTCTCCAATCTAATAAAAAACTGGGTAGTTAAGACACAACTATCCCCAGGCTGGTTCAATTTTGCCTATCCTACAAAGTGAAATGTACCTAGAATTTACACAACATCCATGGCCCATCAACAATAATTAACCAAGAAAAAAAAGAAAGAAATCCCTCAAAGCCAGCATGAATAAACGGTTACTAACCTTAATGCGCCCAGATTCTTTAATAACCTGGATGAGTATTTTCTGATCAAGAGCCTGTTTTGATGGGATTGCACAGATAACTACATCCACTTGCTTCGCTGCTTCCCTGAGACTCTTCTCATCTTCAAGTGAACCCTACAATCCAAATCAAAAGAAAAATTAGTCCTTTGGGTATCAATAAATAAAGAAGTAGAAGAAGAAAACTAAAAAAGGAGTGACCTTGAGGAGAATAGCACCAGCAGTTAGAAGAGAGTTGAGTTTTTGAACTTTGTTTGGATCAGTAAATGAGGAGTCTCTGATAAGAATAAAAGTGGGGTGACCATCCTGGAGACTAAAGTTGACTAAATGGTAACCTAATCTTCCCGTTGCTCCTATTATCAGGACTCTGCTCTTCTCCTCCATCCTTCCTCTGCTGTCCCTCTCTCTCCCCTTCACTGTGAACAAGCAGCGTGCGACTCGGAAGTGGGGAACCCTTTGATCAAACGAAACCGTTTGCTAGTGTAGGTGAATGATTAAAGAACGACAACGTTTTTCTGTAGGAAAGGCAAGGGATTTCGCGGATAAATGGGCTTTTAGCCTATTAGAATATAGAAACCTTCAGATTTATAATTTGAAAGAAGATGTTGCAGTAACGGAAGCCATCATGACTCCTCAAAACTGAGAATCTTTAGCATTAAAATGAAACCTGAGAATCTTTATAACTAGTTGCAGAGACTCTCTTGTTTATGCAAAATCAATTCAAGCATTTGCGATTTTTCTTTTGAAGTTTTTTTATCTTGTTTCTTAAATGTCGAGGTGCTACTTCAAGGTGAAAGATTCAGGTTCATACTTCATATATAGTGATATTTTTCTTTCCTAGGCGATTATATCAGTAACCAACTGGTCATTGAATTCTTTTATCATCAGTGACAGTGAACAGTACCTTTAGAACATATGTGGGATGATTTTTTTTTTTAGATTATTTGTTGCATAGACAACAGTAATGCAATTAAGTACAAGCAGCACCAAATAACTCAATCAGTATTTCCTTGTTGATTGAACTTTTACATACATGTGGCTTACCATTGCTTGATAATTAATTTGTTTCTTGCTCGTCCTTACTCAATTTTTTTTGTTTACCCATTTGATTGTGTTCTTTTAATCTGTATCAAATCTGTTCTATTGCTTAAAAGAGAATCTTTTTGCTTTATAGGTGGGGCATTTTAAGTATTTCAACTATGAATGATCTCATGACCAAGTCTTTCCTTAATTACGTAGAACTCATGAAACAGGCCATGAAAGACATTGAAGCCGAGGCTGACCAGGAAATGGGCCAATTTCATCCCTAGAGATAAGCAAAACCTCTCCAAATTCTTTACGTTACATTGATCAAGAATGATATGGAAGAGATTACCAACCTTCTACTTAATCTTCAAGACTTAAAAAGAAGAGGCAAAGACCACTAACAGTGCAAAAGTTCTTAGGGGTGTTAGTGATAGAATAATATGGTTACCATTCTTCGAAAAGCAAGGAAAATATCAAAACCAGATTGGAATCAGTCGATCAATTTACTATAGAAAATCGTAATGTCTACAAAGAAGGGAGTCACGTTGATCAAACAAGGGTCTCGGTGACTAATGGTTTGAGGGAACAGATTGTGAAAGACCATAGGGAGGGACTAAAAAGGAGGTATCACAAAGTGACTGGACAGGAACCGAGTGAGAGGAAATGATAGAGAAGCTGATTTTGGAAGGTGGTGGGCAAGAGAAAGTTTCCAAAGGGAAGGCAGAATTGGCGATGGAGAATTCAGAAAAAGGCACTAGGCATTGAAGGCAATACAGAGGAGTTTGATGGAGCTGTACCATCTTTTCCTTGACATGGCTGTCAATGATATTGAAAACAATGTGGCTCAAGGTGGTGTTCATGTTAATAGTGGGACTAATGGGTTGCTCTATGCAAAGCAAATGAAGAAGACAAGGAGTTGGGTTTGTTGGGTAGAGGCTTTAGTGCTGCTTCAGTCGGATTCATTTCCAAGGAAGGAAAAATCCTTACGTTTACAAAAGAAAGGCAGGACTTGGCTAAAGGGGAGCAGCGTAGTTAACTGACTTTAGCGTGGCTTAGAAAAAACAGCCATCAGCAGAACCTGTGAAGGAATCAGGATTCACAAAATCTACGTACTACCTCAAAATCTGTACAACTTTGGGAACTTGACAAGTGTGACAGTAATCAGGCTCGAAAGCAATTCCCAAGATCACTCCACAATAAGAAAAGTAAGAAAGAACCATAACCTGCAGGCCTGTTTCCACTTCTTACTTCTCAATAGCTTGTCCTTTTCGCTTCTGATTCTCTTGGGAGTCTGTGTCAATTCTGGAAACTCAGATGGATATGGTGGATTTCACTCTCTCCTAATCAGAAGCGAAAAGGACAAGCTATTGAGAAAAGATTTGCAACAAGTCACTTAATCTATCAACTCCCAGTTTGGCAAGGTTATCTGCTCTCTATTACCTATCCTTGGAGTATATTGAATCTGCCAATCTGCTACTTTGCCTTTGCGTGCAATGATTTGAGATATCAAGTGTCGAGGTCTCCATGGAGCGGCCTCCGATTTGTTCATTCAAGTGACGGCGTTACTAGAGTCGCTTTCAATGATGAGGTTCACTAAGTTTGCCCATAAGAAAGTTGCATGGTCATCGTCTCCCATATCGCCAATACTTTCGCTAGATTGGCATCCCATCCAGTCTTCTTGGCAAACAACAGTTTAAACTTGCCTCATCATTACGAAGCGCCCCTTCAATCCCAAAGTTTCTCGAGTAGTCTCTGATTTAAATTTGAACCAACTTTTAGATGGTCTCTTCCAAGCAACAGTCTTCTCGATGGATTTCCTCGAAGTAGACTCACGTGCCAAGGAAAGGGCATGCACAATGTCCATGATGGATCCATTAACATTTGGTCACCTGAACTTGACTCACCATATTATTTTCATTTTAATAATATGGAAGACTTGCTTGGCATTGCACAATTCCCCTTCAAAAATCATTTCGTTTCTAAAGAGTCAATATTTTCTTAACAATAGCAATTAGGGTCTATATGCATGGAAACTTGAGTTGATGAAAAAAAGTTACTTTACTAGGGTTTATAAATACTGATTAAGGATAGTTAAATATTCATTAAAAATATTACATTTTGTGTACTATTTTCATTAAAATTTAAGAAAAATAATACACTAGTACTATTGCTTTCTTGAGGATCATCCTTAAAGACTAATAATCATTACCCTGCACAGTAAAAAGTGAAATTTTCTGATAAAAGAAAGCAATGAGAAATTCTCTGATGAGATCTCTCTTTCTTTTTCAACTATTCTGTCAACTTATAAAGACAGAAATGATTGGTGAGTTGGCAGTTGCAATTAAGTAAAAGACAGACCCATGTGAGCTTGCCAAGCTCGTTCTCTAAAGGACAGTTAGCTTTACTTTTCTTCTGTTTCAAACCTAGCCAATGAATAGAACCACAAACTCAAATGTATGGTCATAGTCAATGCCGACCACCAACTTTTCTTTTCACCTCCATCATATTTACCCACAATAAATATTTATCTTTTTAATTATATTTAATTAAATTTTTATATTTTAATTTTAAATTAAATAAATTTTTATAATTAGTTATTAATTTATATAATATTTATTGTTTTGATATTTATATAATAATATAACATTAATATAAAAAATAAAATTATTATACAATCATATAATTATATTATGTCATTGTTAAATATGACATGTCAATTATATGTAAATAAAAAAAGTATATGTCATTTTATTAAAGATAGTTAATAAATCATTAATTATAAAAATTTATTTAATTTTTTTTAAAATATTATATTTTTTAAAAAAATACATTTTAATGATAAATTTAGTTTCCAATTATCTTACTTTGTTAGAAAATTTTGACAAATGTAAATATTAACATGCATTAAAATTAGAAGCAAACAAAGAAGCTGACGCGTTGGCTAAAGCTGCCATCCATTTGCAAAGCCAGATTCTTCATGTCTTCTAAATTCTTTTTTGTTATTGTTTGTAGGATTGTGAGATATGGGTAATGAGCGAGTTCTCTGATTAAGGTTGGCCTTAGTGCAGGGCGGTTATCGAGGCCTGTGTCTTTGGGTGTGTTGCTGTTTGATTGTTGTGATTTTGCGTTGGCTCTGCCTTTGGTTTCTTTGGAACTGGGAGAGTGGCCTCTCGAATGCGAGGATGTACTGACCAGGGCGCTGAAGGCCTGTTACCCCTGGGAAATGTATAGGTGGGGGTGAGGCAGTGGTTTTTCTGTTCTTGGGATGGGTTTGGCTTGTACAGGGAATCTGTCATTTTGATGACTGTTTTGAGGAGCTTTTGGTAAGATATATCAGACCAAGAGGACTGATATGATCCAAAATCTCCTGTCTGACTCTCACGGCATGTTAGAGGTGAATTTTATTCCCTCTCTTTTATGAATGAAATCGTTGCTTTCGAAAAAAAGAAAATTAGAAAAGAACAAAGTGAAATATGCAGCCAGTATTTTCCTTTTTAAAAAACAAGATACACGTTTTATGAAATTATTGTTTTTTTTAGTACTTTTTTGTCAAGTATGAACAGCAACAATATTAATAGTCAGGTTTCAGGAAAAAGCCAGTGATGTCGCAAACAGTAGAATGTTTCACCATGCCACAAAAAGTTGGTAGGCAAAAACATAATCAATTTAGCACAAAAAGTCGTAAAAAAAAAAACAAACTAATCAAATTTGACATAGACAATAAAGTAGTTCTGTAACATGGCAGACAAAGGATTGACATAGACAATGGTCATGTTGTTGTAAGATATCAAGTTACCTGGGTTGCTTTAGCCCAAGAAAATTATTAGTATTACTATTCCTAAATGCAGGCACAAGACATTTGAAGGAATGGGGTTGGTTTAAACCAGTATTTGTTCAAGGAGCATCATAAGAAAAGGGTCAGAAGGATTTCATTCTGATTTGCACGGAGCTTTAAAGGACAGAAATCAGCCACGAGCATTGAAAGGTTATCTGAATTAGGCGTGGTAGCCAGAGAATGTGGGGCTCTCTATTATTGACTTTTCCTGCTTTTACATACTGGAGTCGTCAAGAGATCCTTCATTCCCAGCACAATGTTCATGATGTCTTTTAACTTATTCAATTGATTTAATTGAAATTTTCTATAGTTGGTAGGTAGGCAAAGTCCTTCTAGTTTGCAACGAAGTCCTATCTGCAGTGGAGTTGCTTCCTCCTAGATGATATCGTCCATACACGTTCTTTTCTTTATTCCTTTGGTATTCGCAGTTGCAACGTTTATACACGCTCTCACATGCATTTTACCTGACTCAGCTTTGCTATCTGATACGACATGTGGAAACGAAAACCAAGATCTAAAAGGGGAAGAGAACATCCTGAGGGATTTGTAGCCAGCAATTATATACAAGAAGGGGAAAGAAGAAATATGGCATTAAATTAACCTGTTGCCCTCCTTCCGGATAGTTAGAAAGCGTGGAAGAAAATGACCCACGTTATGGTTATTTAAGTCACAGAAATTTAATATTATTATGCAATTCTCGTGGAGAGTTAGAGAGAGGGAGAGAATCTCTAGGTAATCGCCTGATCGAGTTGTCTTGTTTCTTATTCGAGCGGTATTGGGCTTTCACTCGAATGGTTCTTAATTAATTTCTTTAATTACTTAACTTTATAGGCTGCTAATGCTTCATCTATTCACCCTGTTTTATATTATCCACGAATTACGTATACACTTGTTTGATATCTTGGCTATGGTTCTCGTTCTTACTAGGTTGCGGGAGAGCAGCTGCTTCTCAAAATTATTCGTGGGGAGGAAATCTTAATGCGTTTTTGAGCTTGTTAAAAAGGTTCTAATTTTTCAGCCATGGAACGAAGTAAATGGATTCTTATCATCACATTAGCCTTCCTCCTAGCAACATTGCCCGTGACTCTTCGGAACCTGAAATCAAATCTAGTTATTCAGTGCCCATATCTAGGGTAGGTTGTATTATTCTGTTTTATGTACTGTATATGCCAGATGGTCCATACATTCTAGATTTGAATCAAGCAAGCCAAGTGGCTGTGCTTTCTATTTTGGCTTTTTTTCATGCACTGGTTTGTTGCACCCACTAAAGGCTTGTTTGACAGGGATGTAACAAACGTGATACTTGGGAAGCTCGAAGGATGGTCTTTGGGCAACCAGCTGGAGGTTACTGAAGAGAAGATAGGAGGGATTAAAGCTCTGGGGCCGAACTTAACTACGTGCCACCCATCTTTTGGTCGTGATGATCTTCTTGTTCATTGTTGCCCTCCGGCGTTTGAAACGCCTGTGCCCTACGTGGATTTCCTGTCTCCTGACCCCCAATCGCCAGTAAGAGTGCGCAGGCCAGCTCATCTTGTGGACGAAAACTACATTGCCAAATATAACAAGGCCTTATCGATCATGAAGTCCCTGCCATACGATGACCCTCGAAGCTTTGCCCGTCAAGCCAACTTGCACTGTCTGTTTTGCACCGGCGCCTACGACCAACAAAACTCGAATGCTCCCCTCAGCATTCACAGAACTTGGTTATTTTTTCCGTGGCACCGCATGATGATCTATTTCCATGAACGCATCATCGGTAGTCTAATCGGAGATGACACGTTTGCTTTGCCATATTGGGCTTGGGATATCCCTGAAGGAATGGTGATACCGGATATGTACATGAACAAAAATTCATCTTTCTTCCATACAGAGCGCGACGTTTCACATTTTTCACCAAAGATTGTTGATTTAAACTATGCTTACGAAAGAAATTTAAGTCCCGAGGAGCAATTAGACACAAACTTGGCATTTATGTATAACCAAATGGTATCTGGCGCTAGGAAGATGGAATTGTTCATGGGATGCATATATAAAGCCGGTGAGGAAGGGTATTGTAATGCACCTGGCACAGTAGAGCTCGCCCCTCACAACACTCTGCACACATGGGTAGGGAGCAATTTAAATCCTGGAAGGGAGGATATGGGTAAGTTTTACTCAGCAGCAAGAGACCCAATTTTCTATGCACACCATCCTAATATAGACCGTCTTTGGGAAGTTTGGAGGGAGATTCATCAAAATCAAATGGATATCAAAGATCCAGATTGGCTAGACTCTTTCTTTTTCTTCTACGATGAGAACTTGAAGCTAGTAAAAGTGGAGGTTCGTGACGTTCTCGATATAACCAAACTTGGTTATTCCTATGAGCAGGTCGACCGCCCGTGGATGAACAAGCGTCCCATGCCTTCAGTCCCACCAAAATTAGCCCGTCAAATATTAAAAGCGAATGAGAACAAATTACAATTGTCAAGCAGTAACCATGTTTCATCCTCTGATTTCCGGTCGCATGGTCGAGCTCTAGACGCTAGCTTGACAGTGAAAGTTAACAGAACCAGAAATCATTTGACCAAGAGCGAGAAAGAAGAGGAAGAGGTCATAGTTGTCCATGGAATTGAAGTGAAAGGAGACGCATATGTTAAGTTTGATGTGTATGTGAATGTGGCTGATGAGACAATAATCACTCCAAAGTTCAGGGAATTTGCAGGTACCTTTGCTCACATCCCTGGTGGTGGGGAGATGATGAGGAGGAAGACCGATCTCAAATTGGGAGTGTCGGAACTATTGGAAGATCTGGAAGCCGATCAAGATGAAAGCATTTGGATAACATTGTTACCAAGGACGGCAAGCTGTAGCAACGTGACAATTGGTGGGGTACGAACCGAGCACATCAGATAATTCATGTCTTTTATTATCACTGTTTTGAAATATATAGTCTCTTTTACTGTTGGAGATGCCATTGTACCAAATATAAGAGAAATGAATTATGTTTTTTTTTTCTAATGCAAAATATTTGCTTAAATTCTTTTCAATAGTGGAATAATTAAGTCGTCAATGAATTGAAACTCCTACCTTGTTAATGTTGGAGATTCCTTACCTCGAATATGGATAAATGGTTATGGGTTCTTTTTATTGGGTTAGGTCAATTGATATTTTTATTTATTATTTTATAATATATTGATTATTAATATAATAATAAATACATATATAATTTAATAATTGATCATGGACATCACACGTTTGAGTGGTGATGATAAATTTATTGAAAATTTTGGATAAATATTCATTAATTTCTACCATGTAGAGTATACTTAGTTCCCCACCATTTAAAATTTAAAATAATCTAATAAAAAATCTGAAATAATTGTTATAGTATAGCAAAACAACATCCCAAAAAACTCATAAAAAGTGAAAAAGAAAAGCACTCCTAAAACTTGAAAATAATCATTAAGACCTGCCGCCAACAAGCCTCACAAGTCTACCACCAATCAACACCAAGTGACAAATATCTGGCCATCTCATTTTCGCAACAATGGCAGCGCCATAATTTGCTTTTCTCAACACGTTCCGAAAAGAGATGCATCCAATTACACCACGCAACTTAAAATTCAACAAATGTAAAATGATTCAACCGCCATTTTAATGGTGTAAACTTCAGCATAGTCGCAACCAAACACACCAATGGGACCAGAAAATATAACATAAAAATTCCACAATAATGTCTCAAAATACCGTCACATCTCGTAGGATGTAACTTGCTTCTAGCACAATTAATCCTCAACGTTGAATTTTAAAACATTTGCTTGAGGGGGCTTTCCATATAACTTCATCTTCTGTTTGCCATCAACTTTGACTCATATGGCCAGGACTGGCTCTAGGGTAAACCTAACAAAACGTTTACTTTAAATCTCAAATTTTTTATAAGCCTCATAATTTTATAATAATATAATTAATTATATTAAAAATATATAAAAATTAAAAAAAAATTCCCCAAAAGATCCAACTCCATGAACATCGAAAAAGCAAATTAGTCAAAAAGTTTGACAATATATATATTTAGTATTCCCTCCCATTTTTTTCCAACATTCGTCATCATAGTTTTCTTATTTCTCTTTTAATCATTAGGACTTTTTCCACCCAAAATAAAAGCGTTCAAAAGATTGAGTTAGAGAGAATATTTATTTTTTTCGCCTTTTTGTAATATATATGCATCACAAAATCTTGAAGGATAGACTAAGTTACTAATTTGAACAGTTGTCAAGGCAAATTTTAACAATGCTCAACAGTTATAATTATTTCTTTTTAAGTTTATGTTAATATTAATTATGTTACAATTGAAGATTTTAGACCAAACAGTCTAAATAAGCTAAACAACCTAACAAGTTGGACATAGGAGTAGAATTTGATTTAAACTCTTATATTTGATTATGTATATTTAGATCTATATATAGATCAAATTAGATTAAGATTAATATTTAATTCATCTAAATCAAATCTCTTAATATTATCTATATCTTAGAAATTTTATTTAGATAAAGGATTATTAGCCTATGAATAAGCACTTCATTTCATTTGTAAATACACACTTGAATCAATCTAACGTTCTTTTCTTTTCCTCCTCATTATAATCAAGTTACTTGCCTAAATTTAGGCAAGTGGATCTGTCGTCCTCCTAAAAGAAATAGGAGTTCTTCTTTTATTATTATTTTTATCTCATACTTGTTATTATTACTTTTCTTTAAGATTAAGCTTTGGACGTTTTGATCCACACTACTCTTGTTCATGAGTTGAAGTATTAAGGTTTGATAACTCAAGTATAGGAGAATTATTTGAGCGATCTACCTTTTTTCTTTTAAAAAATTTATCAATTGTTTTCAACTTGCTCATATTTTAATCAAATCTGAAAAAAAAAAACAATGTAGTCAACATTCAATATTCTTCTTTATTTATATTTAAACTTAAAAAATAAAACATAAAACTATAATGAATAAAATATAAATAATTAAATATGAAATACAAGATTTTCCATAATAGTTAAATAATATAAATAGAAAGAAGAAAGTAAAAAAAAACTTTACCTCTTCTTAATTTTACACTATGGTGAGTGATTTTTGTCTTTCCTTTTCTAAATTCACAAGCTCATAAATCTTTTTTTAAGAATAAGATGTGTTTCTATGGTGAGTTACGAGAAAAGAGAAATAAAAATAAAAAGATAAAAAAAATGGAGAAAAGGAAAAAGAGAAAAAGGTGTAAAGAAGCTTAAATTAGGGTAAAGTTAAGGAGGTTTGTAAGGTTGTTTTATTTTTTATTTATATCAATTATTAAATAAAAATTTTATTTTGAGTGGGCCATTAATAATATATAATAAATAAAAAAATTTAAAAATTTTGGGGGGCCATGTCCCTTATTGTTGGCTTACCTTCCGTCCCTACTGATGAATTTATATCTCAAATTTTTAATGAATATTGTATATTAATTAGAATAACCGTTAAACAACATATTTCTCATGTTCATACACAAAATAGTCCAACAAAATCGTTTATGTAAAGCCATTACTTATTTTGCTTAAAAGCTTGCTATTTTGCATGTAGCAACACTTGTACGCCTCATGCCAATAAGTTATCATAAATTCTCTCTTATACAATTGGTTTGTAGTCAGTAACTAAATATTTCGTATTTAAGAATTTTGGATGTGTGCTAGATGTTTTAATTGCTCCACCATAATGTACAAAAATGAATCCTCAATAGAGGATAGGAATATGTATCGAATATGACTCTTCATCTATAATTAAATATCTAAAACCATTAACAAGATATTTATTTAGGTTAAAATTTACTAATTATCATTTTAATGAACTAGTTTTTTCAACATTAAGAAGAGAAAATAAGCCGTTAGAAAGAAAATTTTCTTGGAATGCATCATCATTATCTAGTTTTGATCCTCACTCAAATCAATGTGAACTTAAAATTTAAAAGATAATTTATTTACAAAATATAGCAAATTAGTTACCAAACATATTTATTAACTTAAAGAGAATGACTAAATCTCATATAACAATAACAAAAGTTCCTATTAAAATTGACATCCTTATAAGACAAGACTCGCTAGAAGCATGAAAAACCAATTGATTCAAAAGATAAAATCTTCGAAAAAGAAAAGGAGTAAATATATGAGATGGTTAGAAAGAAGAAACAAAAACTCTAGAAGATAATCTTAACATAATTGATAAATTTCAAATAAATTCTTATAAATATTTGAAAAAATTATTTTTCTATTGCAATTAATCAAACTTATATTCTATTATTTTGAGTCAAATAAGCATTTATGACTAACGGTTAATTAATTAGTATTAGTTAAAATGTCACTTATCATTTTATACTCATATAACGCTGATGTGAATGGGGAAAATAATTATGTGGTGATTATGTCATGTTATCAATTAGTTCAACATTTTAACATGTTAGTGATATGAAATGACAAATGACCCTTTAACTAATAACCATTAGTCAACTGTTATTAATGAGAGCTTATTTCACCTAAAACAAAAATATAAGAATTTAATTGAAACAATAAAAAAATAAAGATTTGATTGAATTTTTCTGAATAAATTCAAAAATTTTCTTAGATATTATTTCTATGTATTTTTCTCAAATGGGATAAAGAGGGTAATTAATACTTGTTTCTATAAGATTAAAAAACCTCTTCAAAAAATGACAATTTTGAAAAATTAATAACTTGAACAAAAAATAATTAAAATTAAATTCTTAAATTAACCTTAAGCAGAAAAATATTTATCCAGGAAGCTCCAAATGAAAATAACTATTAATATTCACAATTAATGAATTTTTTACATCACTAAAATAGCTGGTGCTATATTTGTGTTTTGTTGTCAAAATTTAAGAGCAAACTGCATATAAAAGTATACATAGAATAATCTCAAGTCGATTGGGTAATTGATAAGTTATGATGACATCGTTTTATATTTTCCTAATAAAAAGGCCAAAAAAGCAAGTACAATGAATTAAGACCGAGAGCAAAACTTTGATTTGATTTGTTTTTGGTCTTTGACCTTGCCAGCTGTGGGTCTTGTTTTTCTTTGAACCGACCTTCATAACTTCTTTTAACTCATACTATTAATTGATGCACTTATTTTTGTAATAATAATATTTGGATCTGTCCCTGTTCCTTTCTTTTTTCTTCCAACAACCAAGGTAGGTAAGGTGTGTAGAAAATATCTTATAATATCTATTTAACAAACTTACAAAATACAGGCAAACCTTATGTTGCATGTGCACATATTTTTTATTTTTTATTAAAATTTGTAAGTACCCTCATCACTAGTTTCAAAGCTTTCGTGTCCAACCAGCCAAATGTTTTGAATTTTTTTATTAAAATAAATCAATAATAATTGAGTTAAGCGTTATTGTTCACACATCACATGTTAATGACCATATATATATAATTTTAAAATATTAATTAATAAATAGCAATCTTTAAAGTCTACAAATTTAAAATCTTTTGAGTATGCTCACACCAGCGTTAATTTATCGAATTTCCTCATAATTCTCTAATTAAGTGTAATTAGACAAAAGTACTATTAAAATGGGTGACAAAATAAAATGTCGTCATCTTGCACCCCTTACCCTTTTTTTTTTAATAATAAAAGCATCTACAAATGAACAACTCCTTCACTTGACATCTTAAGGATTACTCCTGATCTTGTGCCGTCCTCAGGTGAAATCGATAATGTATAGAAAACTGTTTATTTTGTATAGTGTGTATATTTTTGGGTCTCTCGTTGATGGGAGAAGGGTATGCAGCGCTTTGTTGATCTATTGTCTATTTATGATGCCTTTATTTGACGGTGTCTGTAAGCTGTGTTGTCTGGGTACCAGCATTCCTGGGCGCGAGGGTTGTGCTGAACCTAATCATGGTAGGCCTGCTGGGTGCAGTCAACAGGCAGCAGGGCCTGGTTTGTGGTTGTTTTGATATGTAGGGTTTGTTTTTGT